CTCCGAGTCTTCGACTCGGAGTAATCGATATCTTCATGTTTTATAATAATTAAAGATGATCGTGTGATAAAATCATTATTTTACATTATAAGAATATTTTTACTGCAACTTCTTCAAAAATTATTTTCATCCGTTTCAATTCAATTATTATTTTCTATAATTTTTATTAACCAAAATTCTTCTCTAAATTTAATAATTTTCTAAAAAGTTCCTTATGAGAATTTTCAAATCCATTTCTTTACAATAAATTTTTACGTGAAATTTCGATTATTCGGAATGCTTTTAAGTATTATTTAATTATTATCTCAAATTTTAATTGAAATTCATTTTTAAATCAAAGAAGATTATTAAAATTTTGGAAAATAATTGAATTTCTGTGAAAAATTTAAAAAAATAATTGAAATCCTGCTAAAAATGTTATTTTTTAAAAGAATTAAATTGAATGTTATTTTTATGAAAAATTAAAAAAAATAATTGAATTCCTGCTGAAAGTGTTATTTTTTAAAAGAATTGAATTTTTGAGAAGAAATCTGTTATTTATGAAAAAATAATTGAATTCTTTCCAAGAAATTTATTTAAAAGTTTTGAAAATAATTGAATTTCTGCGAAGAATTTTATAAAGATTTAAAAAATAATTGAATTCTTGCTAAAAAAAATTTTTATTTTTTGAAAATAATTAAATTATTGCGACGAATTTTATTATTTATAATGATAATTGAATTCTTGCCCAGAATTGTATTACATTTTTCAATAATAATTGAATATCTGCGAAGAAAATTATGAAAAGATTAGAAAATAATTGAATTTTCTTTGAGGAATTTTGATAACTTTATTAAAATTTTTGAAAATAATTGAATTTTTGCGAAGAATTTTTTATGATAAATTTTGAAAAGAATTTCATTTTTTGCGAAGAATTTTGTTATTTATAATGATAATTGAATTTTTGTCCAGAAGTTTATTAAAATTTTAGAAAATAATTGAATTTCTGTGACGAATTTTATGAAATTTTTGAAAATAATTTAATTATTACAAAAACATTTGTTATTTTTGTAAATAATTGAATTTCTGCAATCGTTTGTAACTTTTTCAAAATTTCCAAAATTATATCGTACAATTTACGAACTTTTCGTGCGTTTTTTATCAAATTACGAACTTGACGGATCTTTTTTCAAAAAAACTAATTTATTATAGTTTAGGACCTTAAGGTTTAGGACCTTTATAGGGGATTTACGGATCTAGTTCGAGCCCTGAAATTAATTACAACAATTTTGATAAAATTCTTTAGAAAAGATTATTATTTTTAAAATATTTAATAAAATTCCTTTAAAAAAATTCAATTATTATCAAAAATTAAGATAAAATTCTTCGAAACTAACAATTTTTTATATGAATTGTAAAATCCTCCACTAACACTCGTCGAATGTTATCCTACTGGATTCTTTCAAAAATTACACTTTAAAATACACGATACGATTTGAATTTTCTTTAAAAAAAGCCCCCTTCCATTATATACTTCATTCCCTCACCCGACATTTATTCTTCCTTTTTCTCTCCATATCCGTTTTCTTCATCATTCTTCAAGCTACTCTTTATTCTTAACATCTGACCTCAAACAAACAATCCTCCTTTCATGCACCACAATTATTTTCGTAAACCAAAATATGATATCCAACACACACGCAATTGATTTTTTTTTTTTAAAGAGAAAAATAACTTTTGAAATTCTATGCAGTCTTTGATTTTAAAATATGAATTAAACATTTTTAATCCTTATTAAATAAGAAGAAAAAAATTTTTATATTTTATCTATAGTATGATAAAATTATATGTTCGATATTAAAATGAAGTTCACTGAATTCAATGATGAGGAGAGGGATTTATAAAAGTTAGAGAGAATCGATTCGCGAGGATTTTCCGATTTATTTAAGCGGTGTAAATTATTCGTCGTTTGGAATCTCAAATTAACCTCAAAATTGTTTCCAATCGATTTTATATGGCTTCATTGTGGCATTTGTGTATAGAGGTATATATTTTTGTATGGTATCTTTGATTTTCTTTTCAATGTATAATAAACTCTTGTGCATTCTGTCGATTGAATTCAGTTATCTTTATGTGACCTAATAATATAAAAATCAAATTCTATCGCAGATAAATTAACGTAATTTTTATATTTTTTGTAAAAGTAATAAAAATTTATGTTTACTTTCAAAATTTTATATATTTTAACAAAAATTTTTAATCTTTGAGTGCCTGGCCACCGCATTTATCATTTATCTTGACGAATCTTTTTATTGAATTGACTTCTTATTTATAAATTTTTTTTAATAAAAAACTACTAAAATTTTATGCAAATTTACCGGCCCTCTAAAGGTAAATATTTTAAAAAATTTATATTTTTCATTATAATGTTAGATGCGTACAATAATTTCTAAGAGAAAAAAACAGAAAAATGGCTCTAAAAGTAATTTTTCATTTTTCCTTGTACTTTTTCTCTTTGAATGAAATTTAAAAAACGTAAAATTTAGATAAAAACTAAAACTTGTTTCTTAGGGAAAAATACAAGAAATTTTGTATTTACATAAAATTTTTGGTTTTTTCTAAATATATATAACTTTCAATCTTCAGGACGCTCTTAAGATTACGAGAGCAAATATATAGAATGTTTCTTAAAATTAGAATATCTATTTAAAGTACTAATGATAATATTTGATAATGAAGTCGTTAATTTAAAATCTGTGTTAAGTATACATTCTCAAACTAATTTCCAGTGCAATCTTAAATTTAGAATTTACTAAAATATTAAAAAAAAAATTTAGTATCCATTTCAAAAAGTCTTAATATTTAGCAGTACATTTCAAGTATATAAATATTCTCTAACTGTTTTTTTGGAAATTTAAAACAAAATTTTAATATATTGATAAACTTGAAATAGAGTACAAAATTTTTAGAAAATATTTTAAAGATATTCTTAAATTAAGAGAATATTTCTAAACACAAGGGTCAAGAAAATTTTCATATATTAAATTGCTTTCTAAGTATAAAGTTGACCGTTGACTCACAAACAATAAACATTGCCATACAACATGATTAAGGTTTTCGTTACTTTTTCCACATTTACACGTGAACAATTATTTTTGTTTTGTCTTCTAGTTAAAGATTTATAACTAAACCATAGGTTTTTAACACTAGAATAATAATTCTGAAAATAGTTTTTAAAATTTTAGAATTATTTTTAAAATATTTAAAATAAATTATAAAATTTATTTTTATTTATATAAATATAATATAATATATAAATTTTACAAAATATTAAAAATATTTTTAAATTGAGAGTAAATTCAAGTATTTTTAAGAAATTTCTAAATATTTTAAATATTTAGAACGTATTTAACAGAATTCAAATAAATTTTAATAACAGGAAATATTTTTATAATTTCGAAAATATGTTAAGATTTGTAAAAATATTTTAAATATTTAAAGCGAATTTTACAGATTTCAAGTATATTTTAAAGATTTAGAAAATATTTTGAATATTTTAAATATATTTTAATGTTATAGGAAATATTTTCAAGTATATTTTTAAAAATATAGGAAATATTTTTAATATTTCGAATACTTTTAAAGTTACAGAAAATATTTCAAATATTTAAAACGCATTTTACAGATTTCGATTATATTTTCATAATATAGAAAATATTATAAAACTTTAGAAATTATTTTAAAGATTTAAAAAATATTTTGAAAATTTTAAATACATTTGAAATTAATACAAAATATTTTAAGAATTTGGAATATATTTTAAAGAATATAGAAAATATTTTAAAGATTTAAACAATATTTTGAATATTCTGAATATTTCTACAAATTAAAAAAAATATTTTAAATATTTAAAGCGTATTTTACAGATTTCAAGTATATTTTTATAATATAGAAAATAATTTGATAAATTTAAATATATTTTAAAGAATATAGAAAATATTTTTAATATTTCAAATAGTTTTAAAAATTTCGAGAATATTTTAAATATTCAGAACGTATTTTAAAAATTTCAAATATATTTTTATAATATAGAAAATATTTTCTATAACTTTATAAAATATCTTTGAAATTTTTAAAATATTTTTAAATTTGTAAAAATATTCAGAATATTCAAAAAATTTTAAAAATTTCGAATATGTTTTAAAGAATATAGAAAATATTTTTAAAAATTCAAAGATATTTTATAAAGTTATAGGAAATATTTTAAAACTTTAGAAATTATTTTAAGGATTTGAAAAATATCTTGAAATTTTAAAATTTTATTATAGAAAATATTTTGAAAATTTCGAATATATTTTAAAGAATATTGAAAATATTTTTAACATTCTGAATATTTTTAAAAAATTAGAAAATATTTTAAAAATTTCAAAGATTTTTTAAAGAATGTAGTAAATATTTTAAATATTTAGAACGTATTTTACAGATTTCGAATATTATTTTGTAACTTAGAAAATGTTTTTAAGATTTAAAAATTATTTTAAAGATTTTAAAAATATGATGAAAGTTTTAAAGTTATAGAAAATATTTTAAAGAATATTGAAATATTTTATAGAATATAGAAATATTCTGGAAATTTAGAAATTATTTTAAAGATTTAAAAAATATTTTGAAAATTTCAAATATATTTTAAAATTATAGAAAATATTTTGAACATTTAGAAAATACTTTTAAAGAATATAAAATATTTTAAATCTATCGAATTTTATATTTAAAGTTTTAGAAATTACCTCAATTTTAAACAATAATTTCTTTCAAAGTCCTATATAAGAATATTTCATTTTGAGAATTTTTAAAATATTCTAAATAAAATATTTTCTATTCTGAAATATTGTGAATAATTTAACCCCCTTTATTATTATAATGAGTAAAAAACTAGCTGTAAAAATTATGAAATTTAAAAGAAAGAGCACAAACAGGTTTGCAATGTAATAACAATGAAAAAATAAACAATAGAATCTCACCTGTACTCCATGCGCTGCCAGCGACAAGAATTACAACGAAACAAATAAATAATCTCCTAAATGGCCGCGACGCCCTCAAACACTCACTGGGTTCATTCATATTTATTCGCTTGGCAGTTGTCACTTATTTCTGCCAAGCTTTTTTCTCCTTTTCTTCGCCACTTCTCCAAAAAAAAAAGTTTCTAAATTACACACAAAAACTACTTAAAAGAAAAATAATATTCACACCAATCCAATTTTCCACGATTCGAACTTCATGGTCGTTGTCATTTTTTTTATCCACTCACATTCCTCGAATGCACCGCGCACACCGAAAAAATAAAGGTTCTTCTTGAAACTATTTTTTTTTCTTATTTCTCAAGTGTTTTTTTTTCAACTTTGTATTACAATATTCCGTCACCCACGACACACCTGGCAACGGCGCATTTATTTCTTAAAAGCGACGGGACCCTTCGCTCCTCACCATTTCACTTGCGTTCACAATAAAAGTGGTCCCTTGAAGGTACAAAACCATTGTCGACACGACGAAGAATTGAGAGAGGGAATTTCCTTTTTCTTTGAAAAAATACACTCCCGCTCTTACGAAATCGAGAAAAAAAACCACTTGTTGCGAAAATGCGGATCACACACGTGCACACACAAAATTTCGAAAAAAACACTTAATATTCTTTTATTTTTCTTCTATTCACATTTTTCTGTATCACAATCACTTTTTTTTTATTACACTATATAATCCACTAGTTTTTTTGATTTTCCACAAGTCAAAAAATCCAAATGGTTTAATAATCCTTGGGGAGAAAAAATTGACACGTTGCTTTTGAGTACCGCGACACAGAAAATCAGGTAAAGAGAGAGAGAGGCCGCACGCTTTGACGTTCACCTGGTTCAACCTGGCAACCCTGCTGAGCCACCTGGCTCCGCTCAACAAAATTTTTTTAATTTTTTTAACGTTTCACACAACACACGAAAACTTGAACTTTAGAGAATATTTTGTTTTTCTGATAATTAAAAATTTATTTTATTTAAACACACGTGTTGTTTTTTAAATTTTCGATTTTTAATTCCGCGTTCTTCTGATTATCAGTAACATCAGGTTTTGTTAGCATCGCCGCAACGGTTCTAAAACATTCTTGGATTTGACTCGGCGAGTGGAATGTAAGTCGAAAAATGGGATTTGTGCGCATGACAAGGACAAGGAGGTGAATTCTCGACCAATCGCGTGTCACTTTAGACAATGTTTTGTTTTGTCCTCCAACCACCGTCATTGGGTGGGGGGAGAGAAAAGTAAGCGGCTAACTTCACTTCGCAAGTGACATCTATTGGCAGGGGGAGGGTTTTTTAAAATTTTAAATACCGACAAACGGTAGTGAAAAAGCGCGGGAAAATTTAAACTGTCGGTAATATCGACAAATGGTAATTGGTAACTATTTCCAGATTTCCCCAAATGGCATTTGACCCAATTTGCAATGATAAATTGAGAAATCTGTAAAAATTTATCTTTCGAAGAAAAATAAGTAGAATAAAGCAAATAAATAAAAAATAATAATATAAAAGTAACAAAATTTTTTTCTACAAAGCTGCAAATATAATATTTAATTCTCGCAAAGAATTTTATCAAAAAATTTGAGAATTAAATTCGAATTTAATTACTCTCGCAGAATTTTTTAATTTATGAAAATAATCGAATTCTCACGAAAAATTTTATTAAAATTTGAAAACAATCCTATTTAATAATAAAGATAGTATTTGTTTAAATCGTTTAAATAAACAAAATACCGAAAAATAAAAATTTAAAATTCGCGCCAATTTTGGTTCACTTGTCAATTGTCCAGATGTCACAACACTTCCGGTTCATTTTTTTCCGTTACGTAGACTCGATTTGCGGCTACATTCAAGGGGAAGTTAATTGTTGAAGAAATTGTTATATTTTATTATTATTAACGGTTAAAGTAGTATGTGTAGAAAATAGCTAATAAATAACAAATAGATCAAGTTTTTCTTACCAATTTCGTTAATAAACAAGAAAAAGGTAAGTAAATTTTCTATTTTAAATTTCAGAAAGAAATATCAAGAAATTTAGTGAACATAACATAACCTAGAAAAACAATTTTTTTTTATTTTTCTCATTTTATTTTTTTTAGCCACGTTTTTAATCTTAAAAATAACGAAAATACTTTTTTTGGTTCACGAAGGCAAAAGATAAGAAGGTTAAGAAGAAGTTTTTTTATCAATTGAATTGTAATTTTGTTTTAAAAATGATGAAATTTATGTGATTATTTGACGAATATTTTTTTTAGATGGGTGTTGACAAAGCTGCTCCTCCTGCAGTCGAAGGGTAAATTTTCTATATTTAATTTAGAATTTAGAAAATATTTTCATTTTTATCAATCAACAAATGCATTATTTTTTCAGTTTTCAAAAAAGTTTATTTTCGAAAAGTAGAAAATTAAATTTTGTATGCTTGGAAAGTAAAAAATAAGAGAAATTCTTTATATACTTTCTCAAAAATAAATAAAATAAAATAAATAAATTTTATTTTGTAGGAAAAATATATTTTTTAGAAACAAATAAAAATTTATTATGTAGAAAATATTAAAAATTTATTTTGTCTAAAAAAAACAATTTTTTTGTTAAAATAGAAAAAATAATTATTTTGTGAGAAAGTAATAAAAATGAAAAAATCATTTCAGAAACGCGCCTTCCAAGAAAGCCTTAAAAAAATCAATGAAAGAAGCAGAAAAAGCAGCCAAAAAAGCAGAACATGCTGCAAAACGCGTAAGTCAAATAGGTATTATTTCTTTTTAAACTATTTTAAAAATTTAAATTTTATTTTTTAAATTATTCTTTTAAAATTTTAGGCGGAACAGGAACCGGAATCGGTTACAAATGAAGAAGACGTATCAAAGGAGCGTTATGGACTTTTAAAAATGATTCAAAGCGAGGATGCACACTTGGAAAGGAAATATGTTGACATTAAGGAATTAAATTCTAATCGTGTGGATCAATTACTTTGGTTGCGTGGTCGTTTACACACGAGTCGAGCCAAAGGTAAAAAGTATTTACTAATTTTGCATTAACTTTGCAAAAAATAGTCTCGTCTAATCTGAGGTCGTCATAAAGAATAAAACAAAAGATTTTCGAGCTAGTCTCGTTTAATCTGAGGTCGTCATAAAGAAACAAAGATCTAATTTTTTTTCTTTTAAAATTAAATTCCTTTTTTTCATTATCTTTTTCTTAAAAAAATCTCCCAATTTCGCTTTTATTAATATTGCCATGAATCGTAAGCAGTGATCACAGTTTACTTTTTTATCCCCCTAAATTAATATTAATCTTCCAAATTTTTTATTAAAATTTACCCTGAAAATAATTTTTAATTTAAATTTAATTGGTACAATTATTTTAAAATTATTTTTAATAGTAAACTTTAACTCATTTCTACGGTTACTTTTTGAATAAAAATTTTTTAAATTTTCTTCCAACAATTTAATTTTCTTGTAGTATAATTTGTTATTAAAAATTATTATGTGCAAAATAAATTTTATTACTTCTGAAGTAAACTTTTCTAATTTTTATACAGAAATTTTCTTCGAAAAAAGTAAAAGTCATTCTGAAAATAACAATTTTTGATTCTACAATGTAAATTATATTTTTAGAGAAAATTTTATTTAAAGTATATTTTACTAATTTTTCCTGAAATTAAGATTTTAATATATATAGTTCCTGTTTTTAATTCCATTTTCGTGTAATTTTAAAAAAAATAGCGTTTTAACTTCATTTGATAAATACTCTTTTTTTAAATTCCCTTCTTTAAAAGTGAAAATTCCCTTTTTTATTCAATGTTACAGGAAAAAATCACTGTAATCCCTGTGTACGATTTTTTTCTTTTTATATTTTCACCTTAAAAATTTTAAAAATTAGCGATATGAGTATATTTTTCTCCATTAAAAAAAAATGTAAAATTTGAAGAACCCTTTTTAAAAATTTTAAAAATTTTAAAAATCTCATGTTTGTTTCTTTTTGTATTAAATTTAAATAATTAGAATGATTTTTATATTAATTAATAATTAGAATAATGAAAATAACTAATTATATTTTACTTTTAGGAAAACAATGTTTCATTGTTATAAGGCAACAATCATATACCGTTCAGGGTCTTATAGCCGTTAACGAGAGGATTAGCAAACAAATGATTAAATTCATCTCAAAGTAAGATCAACAAAATTATCTGATTTAATAATAAACAAAAATATTACATGTCCCAGAAAGGGACAGTAAGAAAATTAAATAAAATTTGACGATAATTTATAGTTATCTATAATAATAAAAATAATAATAAATTTTCTTACTTTTCATCAGCATCACGAAGGAATCGATAATCGATGTAGAGGCGCGTGTCGTTAATGTACCAACGAAAATTGAATCCTGCTCGCAGAAAGACTGCGAGGTTCATATTGAGCAAATTTTCGTTGTGAGCGCCGCTGAACCTCAACTTCCGCTACAAATTGAGGATGCAGCGAGACCCGAGGGCGATGAATCGGGACCCACCATCAAGGTCAATCAGGACACGAGGCTTGATAATCGTGTTCTCGATCTAAGAACTCCGGCAAATCAGGCAATCTTCAGGGTTGAGGCCGGTGTCTGTAAACTCTTCCGTGACATTCTCGACAGCAAAGTTCGTTCATTTTTCTAAACATATTGATTTTGAAAATAATGAATGTTTTTATTTTTCTATAAAATGACATTTATTATTAATAATTATTTTTATTCCTTTTTTTTAAACTGGCAATTTTTTTCGACTCATTTCCAAATAATAGATTTTTTTCTACTTTAAATCGACTAAAACGTGATTTTTTGAGTCCTTGAAGTTAGCGTCGACGCTGAGCGTCAAAAACCATTTTTTAAAAAAAGATTTTAGGTTAAAAAAAAGTTCTGTAAAACTTTTATCTCCCTAGGGAAATAATGGAGATAAACTTAGTGAAATTTCAATCTTTAAAATAAAAAAGTAATATTGTTTTTGAACGCTAACTTCAGGGATATTCTTAAAGTCGATCCGAGGCCTACATTCAAATAATTATCTGTTTCTTTTTCTAAAGGGTTTCGTGGAGATTCACACACCGAAAATGATTTCAGCGGCAAGTGAAGGCGGTGCGAATGTCTTCACTGTCTCGTACTTTAAGGGCTCCGCGTATTTGGCGCAATCACCACAACTCTACAAGCAAATGGCAATTGCTGCCGATTTCGATCGTGTTTACACGGTTGGCGCAGGTTTACACTTTTTTTTAATTATTAACTTACTATCGTTATTACAAATTTTATAAAAAAAAAATTTCTACAAATTTTTTTTTCGAATTCAGTTAATAAATTTTTTTTCCACAGTTTTCAGAGCCGAAGATTCGAATACGCATCGACACTTGACGGAATTTGTTGGTTTAGATTTGGAAATGGCATTTAAACATCATTATCATGAAGTTGTTGAAGTAATTGGACAAATGTTTACTGATCTATTTCGGGGACTTCGTGACAAGTAAATGTTTTTTTTATAAGTTAAGAAATAAGAAATAAATAATAATAATTATAATATACAATAATAATAATAATTATTATTATTATTAAATAAATAATAATAATTAGATATAATATATAATAATAATTATTATTAAATAATCATTCTTTTCTTTTGCTTTTTTCTTTTAGTTACGCAGACGAAATTGCGGCAGTCAATCAACAATATAAAGTGGAGCCATTCAAGTTTTTGGATCCACCTTTGAAACTCGAGTTTCCAGAGGCGGTTAAACTTCTAGCCGAAGCTGGAGTTACGATTGGCGATGAGGACGATTTATCGACCCCTGATGAGAAGCTTCTCGGAAAACTCGTCAAAGCTAAAGTATTCTTTTATTATTATGATTATTATTATTACTATTATTATTATTATTATTATTATTATTATATTATTATAATTATTATTATTATTTCAAATTACCATTTCAGTTTTTGTAATTTCCGATTATTTCCAGTACGACACAGACTTTTACATGTTGGATAAATATCCACTTGCCGTGCGGCCATTCTATACAATGCCAGACCCAAATAATCCGGTGAGTTACAAAAAAATGGTTTTCTTTTCGATTTTTTCTATTTATAAGAAAAAAAATAATTATCTGTATTCTTTTTTTTTCAGAAATATTCCAATTCATACGATATGTTTATGAGAGGTGAGGAAATAATTTCCGGAGCTCAAAGAATTCACGATGCACAATATTTAACCGAGAGGGCAAAGCATCACGGAATTGGTAAGAGTGGAAACAATTTATTAGTTTTTATAAACCCCTTTTTAATCTATAAAAAAAATCTATTTTTACAATCCCTTTTTAATCTATAAAAAAATCTATTTTTATAAACCCTTTTTAATCTATAAAAAATATATTTTTACAATCCCTTTTTAATCTATAAAAAAATCTATTTTTCTAAACCCTTTTTAATCTATAAAAAAATCTATTTTTATATGTAATTCTACAAATAATGTGAAAAATGTAATCAACTTTTTTCTCTTATTTAAATACAGATATCGAGAAAATAAAAGCCTATATTGATTCATTCCGCTATGGATGTCCTCCACACGCTGGAGGTGGAATTGGAATGGAACGTGTCGTAATGTTGTATCTTGGATTAGACAACATTAGAAAAGTTTCAATGTTCCCACGTGATCCAAAACGTCTCACGCCATAAGAATTCATTTTATTCATATAGAGAAAAAAGCAACAAAAAAAATATATAAATAAATTGAACAGAATTTATAATTTTTTGAATAAATAAAGTTCAATGTCTTGAAAGAAGAATTTTGCGAGATGTAAATTAGTCTCGTCTAATCTGAGGTTGTCATAAAGAATAAAAAAACAAAGATTTGCGGGCTAGTCTCGTCTAATCTGAGGTCGTCATAAAGAACAAAAAAAAAAGATTTGCGGGCTAGTCTCGTTCAATCAGGTCGTGATAAAGAATAAAAAAACAAAGATTTGCGGGCTAGGCTCGTTTAATCTGAGGTCGTCATAAAAAAACAAAGATTTGCGGGCTAGTCTCGTTTAATCTGAGGTCGTCATAAAGAATAAAAAAAATATTTGCGAGCTAGTCTCGTTTAGTTTGAGGTCGTCATAAAGAACAAAAAAAAGATTTGCGAGCTAGTCTCGTTTAATCTGAGGTCGCCATAAAGAATAAAAAAAATATTTGCGAGCTAGTCTCGTTTAATTTGAGGTCGTCATAAAGAACAAAAAAAAGATTTGCGAGCTAGTCTCGTTTAATCTGAGGTCGCCATAAAGAATAAAAAAAATATTTGCGAGCTAGTCTCGTTTAATTTGAGGTCGTCATAAAGAACAAAAAAAAGATTTGCGAGCTAGTCTCGTTTAATCTGAGGTTGTCATAAAAAACAAAGATTTGCGGGCTAGTCTCGTTTAATCTGAGGTCGTCATAAAAAAACAAAGATTTGCCGGCTAGTCTCGTTTAATCTGAGGTCGTCATAAAGAATAAAAAAAAATATTGCTGGTCAGTCCCTTTTTTCGTAGTCATTTTGTTTTTAGTTTTATTTATTTTATTTCTTTAGTTCATCAATTTATCAATTTTTATTAAAATTTACTACACTTAAATTTCACCCCTCCCCCCCTCTCTCTCTCTCTATCTCTTTTTCTCTACCTAATAAAATCTCGAATACATCAATTTAGAAAATTTCCTTTTTCTTATTTTTTCTTTAATATTAATTTTCGAGGCAAAGAACAGAAAACATTTTTGCTTTAATATAAATCGTTGCTTTTCTCTTTTTTCGCAAACTTTCTAATATACCATAAAAATCTTGTTTTTAAACATGTATCCAACCTTTTAAAAAAGTTTTCCTTATTTTGTATTTTTAAAATGTCCGCTTTAGAAATTTTTATAAAAAAAAAATTTTTTTTTTCAATTTTTGCTTATTTACTTGTTTTTTTTAAAGAGGATGAAAAAGATTTTCATTTAAACGAACAAAAAAACGTTTTTTTACCTTTTTTTTGACTAAGTTTCTATAATAACACGTAAATATATAAAAAAAACTATTTTTACTCCCTAAATTATTATTTTTCTTTTGTACTTATAAAAATATTCACTTTTAATACAAAAATAAATTTAATGTTTTTTTTGTTTATTATTCAATTTGGCAAAATTAGTTCCATGACTAATTGAGACCTTAAATTTTTCGTAATTTATATTAGTTTCGAAAACAGAAGCAACAAATTTTTTATTTAGAAGAAAAGAATACTTTTTGTTCTTTGCTTCACAAAGTTTCTATAAAGATACATTTGAATAATTTAAAAAAAAATAGATTTCTACTTTTGCCGCCTAAAAATTTTTAATTCTATTTTTTAAAATAGAATTCTTTTAATTTAAATAATTTACAAATTTTCTTCTTCATTTCTTTTTTGTATTTTAATAATTTTAAAATAATTTACGAATTTATTTTTTATATTTTAATAATTTTAAAATAAGTCACGATTTTCTTTTTTGTATTTTAATAATTTAAAAATAAGTCACGAATTTCGTTTTTATATTTTAATAATTAATAACTTTAAAATAATTCCCGAATTTCTTTTTTGAATTTTGATTTTAAAATAATGTTTACGAATTTCTTTTTTCAAATTCTAATAATAAAAAATAATCCACAAACTTTCGTTTTAATTTCAATAATTTAAAATCTATTCAATAAGTTACAAATTTCTTAATTTTAATTTCAATAATTCAAAATAATTACCATATTTCCTTTTTTAATTTTAATAAAATTTACAACAGAATTCAAAACTAATGGAAATTCTTTCTGATTCGAATAAAAAAGTATAAAATTTTCCGAATATAAAAACCTATTAATAGAACTTTTAATACGGCCTACTCTATGGAAAATTGACAAATTTTCCCAATCTCTCTTTTAATAATAATTTATCTCCCCCCCCCTATGGAAAAAGATCGCGATATAAATATACACTCGCAGTTTCGAAAACTGCGCGCGAGAATATTATCAAAAATAAATTTTCTCAGTTTACAAATTGTCGTTCTCGGGAAAATAACTCCGTTCAAAAAAAAAGCTCTCATTTTATAAATTTTCTACTAAAAAAATTATTTCTATTTCTATAAAATATTTTTCTATATTAAAAAATGATTTAAATAATTCAAAACTTAATTTTTCGAAAAAGGAAATTAAGAAAATACAATTTAAAAAAAAAGAATTTGAAAATTTAAAATAAAGTGTCAAATATTAGACAATTGTCAAAAAAGAAGAGGAAAAAACAGGTGGTTTTTATATAATAGGATTTTGTGAGAGAAAAAAAAATTCACTACCCCATTTTTTTCTTCTTTTTCAAGATAAGATACAGATGGAAGCTGACGACGACATGACACATTGAAGTACAGTCAATGACAAGAATTACTCTCTTTTCTCTCATTGACGCATTCGTTAAGAAAAGAAGAGTGTGTAAAAGAGAGAGAGAGAGAAAGAGAGTGAGATTCGTCATTCAACCATTTGCTCTCTTATAATAGTGAGTGCCGAGAAATATGTGTGTGAGCTTGAAAAGCGCAACACCTGTTGATTATTTTTCAAAATAAATATTACAAGAAAAGCATGACCCATTTGTTGAAAAATCTCACAAATAGTATTTGGCATGCATTTCATGCTTTGCAAGCCGAAGATGCTTTTGTTGTCGCTAAATCCAAATTAAAGGTGGGTCTATTTATTAATTATTACGAATCGCGCTTTTATTGTGTTAAGAGACAAAAAAAAAAAAAAATCGTTAGAGAGAGAGAGTCATCGCGCCGAATGTTTCTTTAATATTTCCTTCAGTTTCCAAATTCGGGTGTGGTTTATTTTTGACTCGACCTCGACCCCCTAATTTTTGTTTTTATTTTTTTATTTGAAAAAAAATAAACCTTTACATAGTCGATTTAGTTTTAGTGCGAAAAATAATTTTTTTTTCCGAACTAAAGAGGTTTTTTAATTAATAAATTTAGGGTTTTTATTAATTAATTCAATTCTTAAATAATTAATTTATTTCTTTATTAATTTATTTATTTTTTAATTACCTATTATTTATTTTTAATTTATTTTATTCGTCAATTTTTGAACATTAAAACATTTATATTAATTAACATATTGATATTTTTTATATAATTTTTTCATTACCATTAGTTTTTAAATTTTTTATTTTATTTTATTCTTAATCAAAATTTATCTAACTAATTAATAATTTATTTAATAGTTAAGGATTTAATAGTTATATAAATATATTTTGAAGTTTAACAAATAATTTTTTTTCAAATTTAATTTATTCAAAAAAAGGAAACTGAAATATTTTTTAAAGATCTTTAAAAATTAATTTTAATAATATTTATTTTGGTTAAAAAATTATTTTTCAAGTTTAAAAATTAATATCAGTAGAAAATTAGTATTTTAAAATTCAGAAACAATTTTAAATTTGATATTTAAGTTTCTTTTTTAAATAATAAAATTTTAATACAAATTTTATTAAGTAATCAAATTTTTTTTTGAAATAATAAAAATTAATTACAATTAGTGAAATTTAAATAACAAGAATAAAAATAAATAATTTTAATAAAATAAAGGAAAGAAAAATGAAAATTTTAGGTTTTAACCGCAAATATTGGAACATTAATGGATCTCTATGGAATCGAAAAGGGTTTGGAGCATTATCGTAGCACGCAAACATTGACATTCGAACAATACATTTACTATCTGCAAAAAGAGGTAAAAAAATAAAAAATAAAACAATTTTTTTCCACATTAAAACAAAATCGTTTCTCGTGATTTATCGTTTCTTTTAAAAAGCACATTTGTTTGTGTAAAACTTCACGATTTTCATTAAAAACAATCAAAACTCATTTAATTTCAATAATACATCTATTTTAAAAATTAAAAAACATTTATAAAAAAATTAATTTATCCGAAAAAATAAATATTTATTTACGTAAAAATATTTTTATTTCGATGTAAAAAAAGAAAAATAGATTAAAATAAAAATAAAATAAATAAACTCGGAAAAAAAAATAAATAACAGAAGAAATAGTAAAAAATAAAAAGCAGAGAAAATAAATGAAAATTGAAACAAAGGGAAAACATTATTTAAAAATAGAAAAAATTCAGAAAAATATATTGAACAAAAATTTATTTTTCGAGAGAAAAAAAAATGGAAATTAATTTTCGAAAATGTAAATTAAGACTATCTTCAACATTGGAAAAGCTAATGAAGTTCTTATCATTTTGAAATTCAATGTAATTCAAATTAATGTAAATTATCTTTATTACAATTGCGAAAATGGTATATTTTCTAAAAATAGAAATTAAATGAAAATTTCTGTTGTATATTTTTTTGCAAAGAAAAATAAATAAATAGTAAATAATAGTTATATATATTTTGCAGAAAGAAAGAAAAATTTTCCAGTTAGAATAATTAAAAAGAAAATATTTTCCCTTTTTCTTAATTTTTTTAGAATAAAAAAAATAAATATTAATGAATATTAGTATAAATAAAATTACATATTAATTGCAAAAAATGTAAATATTTCTTTTTTTTTAAACATTCGACAAAAAGAAAATATTTTCCCTCTTTTTTTAATAAATATAAATAAATACTTAAATGCAATAAAAATGGGGCAAAAACGTTTAAATTTATTCCGTAGGAGTTAAAAATGTCCATTTTTACACCCTAGGGATTAAAAACGTTTACTTCTACTCCCTAGCGGTTAAAGAAGTTTATTTTTACTCCCTAGGGGTTAAAAACGTCCATTTTTACACCCTAGGGACTAAAAACCGCAAGGTTTACTCCCTAGGGAGTAAATAAATTTAATTATATATTTTTCAAAAAGTGAAAGTTTTTTTATTTGGATAAAAATATTGAAAGTAAAAAAAAATATTTTCACTTTTTTTTTCTTTTTTAATAAAAATAAATACCTATATCAAGTAATTTTATAAATAATATTTTTCAAAAAGGGATAATTTTGAACGAAAAGAAAATATATTTTTTCTTCTATAAAATAGGTTTTCTCCTCTCTCACTGAAACAACGCCAATTCAAACATGTCGATCATTGGAAGAAGGAATCGACGAAATTTGCTGGCTCGTTTGTCGAAAAATTTATCTAAATCGAACCCATCCCATTTTTCAAGATCACAGCGTTTATCAATTATTTCGAATATTTTGCCTCCTAGCGGAAATGGAAGCCGACGTTACGGACTCTTCCTATTTGGTAATTTTTTTCTTTGTTTAAATATTTTTATTAATAATTTTTTTTATTTTTTATTATCATAATTATATATAATTACTGCATTTTTATTTTTTAAAAAAAAATATGACTATAAACGATTATTTTCTATTTTAGTTTATTAATTTTTTTCACTTTTACTAATTTTTATTTTATTATTTTCATTTATTGGTTTTATTAAAATAAATTAAAAATATTATAATTATTTATTATTTCATTATAATTTTATCTGTCAACATTTTAATTTATTAATTTTTTTTATTTTTACTAATTTTTATTTTATTATTTTTATTATTGTTGTTATTAAAATTAATTAAAAATATAATAATTATTTATTATTTAATTATAATTTTAACTGTCAACAATATAGAAAAGCGTTTGTTACTTGATATTATAAAAAATAATAATATTAATAATAATAATAATAATAATAAAAATAATAATAATAATAATTTTATTTCTTTTAATATTTCTTGAATTAGGTAACAGCGAATAGCGACGAAGTGGCGCGAATTGCATCACAATTTGTCACTTCATTGGGTTTAAATTGGGATCCCTTGGATTTTTCAGCATTAGCCGCGGCAATTGGAAATTTTCGGTAATTTTTACAAATAAAATAATTTTTTTCCCCTTACTATAAAATAATTATTTTTAAACTAATTTTTTTAATTTCAAAAAAGAAAATTCTTTCTTAAATATTAAAACAATAAATAAATTTAAATTTAAAATAGAAAAAAAATTTGTCTTTCAATTTTTAAACAACAACAAATTTGCTGTATTTTAATTATTTTTTTCTTTCTTTCTATTTTCAAAACAAAAAAAAAAAAGATTTCCAACTTTCCTGGCAGTATTGGAATCAAAATATTCCGGTGGTGGAACTGTTGATCCAGCAGCTTTAACGGAAGCAATCGACGACATGTATCAAACATATGTCGAGGATGTGCTCAAAAAAGTAATATTTTACAAAAATAGAATAAAAAAATCAAATTTTTAACGAAAAATAATTCTAATTATTAATTTTAACACTAGAGAGTAAAAAAAACAAGAATAGTTTTATTCCTTAAGATAAAAAGACGTATTTTTACTTCCTAGGGGTTAAAAACACCTATTTTTACACCCTTGGGACTAAAAAACCGCGAGGTATACTTCCTAGGGATTAAAAACGTCCATTTTTACACTCTAGAGACTAAAAACCGTTAGGTTTACTTTCTAGGGACTAAAAAACCTTAAAGTTTACTCCCTAGTGGTAAAAAACGTTCATTTCTCTCCCTAGTGGCTAAAAAACCTTAAAGTTTACTCCCTAGGGGTAAAAAACGGTCATTTTTCCCCCTAGTGGCTAAAAAACCTTAAAGTTTATTCCCCAGGGATTAAAAACGTACAATTTTAACTTTAGACTAAAAGCTTCAATTCCCTAGTGCTGAAAACTTAGATTTTTCCCACTAGGGTCTCAAAAGTGTTAATTTTATTCCCTAGAATTAAAAAAATGGCGATGAATAGAGTCAAAATTAACAAATAGGGATTGAAAAGTAATAAATAATTTTATTTTTCCAAAAAGGGTTACTTGATGAAGAAAGGATTTTTACTGCCTACATATCGTTATTTTTGGTTTGTACTACGACCCGGGGAATTGACGTACTACAAGGATTCGCAGCATAAAGAACCGTCGGGTGTAATTCCATTGGACTTAAATTCGTGGGCGGATGCAGCAAGTAATGGGGGCAAACCCGATCGACGATTTATTCTCAGCACTCCCGAACATCGTGGAATTGAGCTTGGCGCCGAGGATCATCGTGGACGTTTACAATGGTTGGCAGCAATTCAAATTGCCATTCAACATTCAACGGAAAAAATTGGCTATCAACGAACACTCGCTTATCAACGACGATCGTGTCGTCAGGTAAATTATGCGGAGAAAATGGAAATTATCTTTTAAAACTTGTTAATTTACTATATATATATATATATATATATATATACATTCGGGGTGGAAAATAGACTGTTTTTCTCTCTAGTGTGAGAAAGAAGATCTTGTTACACGATTAGATTCAAAAACATCGATCGAAAACATCTATTTTACTCCCTAGAGAGCGAAAAAAGTTTGTTTTATTTCCCTAGTGTTGAAAATACTAGTTTTGCACACTAGAGTGCGAAAAAACATTGATTTACTCCCTTGGGGTTTAAAATATTCGATTTGCTTCCTGCAATGCGAAAAAGGTCTTTTTCTCGCATCGGGAATTTTCATTCAAAAATACCTATTTTTCTAACTTTTGTGAAAAAAAGCTATTTTATTTCCCTAGTGTTGAAAATACTAGTTTTGCACACTAGAGTGCGGAAAAACATTGCTTTCGCTAATACTAGAAATCAAAAAACTATTCTTAAAATTTATAATCAAATTCTTTAAAACGATTCAATGATTTTCAAAAAATAATCGAAATTCAATTATTTTCAATATCTAGTATTTAATTCATAAAATTTCGCAAAAGAATTCAATTATTTAAAAAAAAAATTGATAAAATTCATCCAAAATTCAATTATTTTCGTAAGTAATAAAATTTTCACAGGAATTTAATTAATTTAAAATGGCATTTTCAAAAAAGTTTCGAGAAAATCAATTATTTAACAATATTTTTATACAATTCTTCCCAAAAATTCAATTACTTTAACTACTAATAACATTTTTCAAAAAAATTCTATTTAAAATTTTTTTTAATAAAATTCTAAGCTAGAATTCAATTATTTTTATAAATAATAAAACTCATCGAAGAATTTCAATTATTCTTAATACTATTTTAAATTAAATAATAGAAAAATTCAATTATTTTCACAAATAAAGTTTTCCACAAGAATTCAATTATTTAAAATAAAATTTCCATAATATTTATTATATTTTGAAAAAGTTAATTATTTAAAACCATGTTTATCAAAATTCTTATAAAGAATTCAATTATTTACAGAAATAACAAAAATTTTCACAGAAATTCAATTCTTTTTTAATAATTTCATAAAATTTTTCACAATAATTCAATTATTTTCATAGATAATAAAATTCTTCTCAGGAATTCAATTATTTTTGAAAATTTTAATAATATTCTTAGCAACTATTCAATGATTTTCATAAATAATAAAATCCATTGCAGGATTTCAATTATTTTTAATACAATTTTACAGTAATTGCTCGAGAAATGTAATTATTCCTAAAAATTTAATTTCAATTTCTAGAAGATATTAAATATTTAAAAAAAATGTTTTTTAAAATTCTTTGGAAGAATTGAAGTATTTACAAAACTACTAGAATTTTTCACAGGAATTCAATTATTTTCCAATATTTTAATAAAATTCTTCCCAAGAATTCAATTTTTTACATAAATAATTCTTCGAAAGAATTCAATTATTAAAAATAAATAACAAAATTATTCCCGAAAATTTAATTACTTTGAGTCATTTTAATAAAATTCTTTACAAAATTCAATTATTTTCATAAATAACAATATTTATCATAAGAATTCAATTATTTTAATAGTAATAAATTTTTTCCTGGAAATTCAATTATTTTAAAAAATTCTAATAAAACCGTTCACAAGATTTCAATTATTCTCATAAATAATAAAATGCTTTTTAGTAATTCAATTATTTTCAAAAAAAAATTTAATTAAATGTCACACAGACATTCAATTATTCTCAAAAATTTAGAATTCTTTGTAAAATTCAAGTATTTTTAAAAACTTTTCGCTATTTAATGATTTTCAATATCTACTATTTTCATTAAATTTCCAAACAGAATTCAATTATTTAAAAAAAAATTTATAAAAATCTTCATAAGAATTCAATTCTTTTTATGAATAATAAAAATAAAATATAGAATAGAAAACACTTGTTTTTCTCACTAGGGTTAAAAAATATCATTTCTCATTTAAATTTAGGCTACAAGACAGGAGAGGGACGAAACAAAAATGGAATTACAGCACGAGCGACAGGCGCGAATTGCCGCTGAAATACAGGCACGAAAATTGGAAGCACTTTCAAAAGAGGAGAACGCAAAAGTTCAAGAATTGGAGGATGTTAAACGAAAATTGGAAATTTTATTACAAGAGGAAACGCAGGCTTTGCGAGACGAAGAAATAGGTAAGAAAAAATTTAACTTAACGCGGCAAAAAGAAATTTTACTCTATAGGGAGTAAAAATGAAGGTTTTTAGTCCCTAGGGAGTAAAATTGAAGGTTTTTAATCCCTAGGTAGTAAAAATGAACATTTTTAATCCCTACGGTGTTAAAACGAATGTTTTTTATTTCTTAATAGAGAAAAAAAGGTTTTTTAATCACTAGGAAGGAAAAATGAATGTTTTTACTCCCTAGGGTGTAAAATCAAACGTTTTTAATTCCTAGGGAGTAAATATTAAGGTTTTTAAAATCCCTAGGGAGAAGAAATGAAAGTTTTTAATCCCTTGGAAGAAAAATGAACCTTTTTAATTCTAGGGAGTAAATTTGAAGGTTTTTTAATCCCTAGGGAGTAAAAAAGCTCTTTTTTTACCCCATTTTGAATATTGAAAATAAAAAAAATAAAAATTACAGTTAGAGGATTACAAGCACGTGTTCTTCGCGAGGAATGGGAACGACGCGAAGAATTGGAACGACTGCAAAAAGAACAGCAAGATCTGTTGGAGTTGGAAAAAAAGAAACGCCTCGAATTTGAGCGTCAACAAGAAGAAAATGAAATGCAACTTCAAGGTAAAAAACATTACTTTTCACATAAAGCAAAAAAATCCCTATCAATTTTTTTTCCCTATGAATAAAAATATTGTTTTTAACCCCTAGGGTTTAAAATATATTATTTTCTACCCCAAAAATAATATTTTTTACTTCTTAGGGCTTAAATACATCTTTGAAATTTTTTGAAAACTATTTTATACTCTAGAGTCGAAAACAATCGTTTTTTCCTCTAGTGCAAAAAACAGTTTTTTTACTCACTGTGTGCAAAAAAAAATACAATTACAGACGCGGAGCATCGTCTTCAACAATTGGAAGCAGAAAAGAAGAATCTCGACGCTGAATTAAAATCGGCACGCGAAAAAGTGAGACGCGCCGAGGAGGCGCAAATTTTACTTGAAGCCGAAATAGTGACAGTTCGACCGACAAAGGGACGCGAGCGAATAAGACGTACACAAAGTTTCATTCCAACGACTAAAGAAAAGCCATTATTATTACTTGAGGAACGCTCAATGACACTTCGCAAACATTGCTAAAAACAATTATATTATTCGAATCAATTAATTTTTATGCTCGCTGGTCGTGCTTCAAAAAAAAAAAAAATTAATGCTCAAAGAATTGACGATGTTTTTCACAAATTTTGTTGAAAAATTAAGAACCTTGTAGATTTTAATTTTTTAATTCTATCCCTAGACTTAGAAATGATAAGTTTTCGCATATGGTTAAAAAAGGACTGTTTTTCCTCCCTAGGGTTGAAAACTATCACTTTTTACTCTAGTGACATAGTAAATAATATTTTTCACACTAGAATTAAAAAAATTATTTTTCTAACTAGTGATATAATAACCATTTTTTGCCCTAATGTTCAAAATAATGATCCTTTACCATTTTCAATCCCTAGGGAGAAAAAATGAACGTTTTTAATCTCTAGAGAGCAAAAATTAAGGTTTTTTAATCGGCATAGCGTTTTTTTTCGCCCTAGTGTTAGAAATTACTATTTTTCCATAAAAATAATTTTTCCCCGAAAAAAAGCGAGAAAAGCATTTTTTTTTTGTTTTGAAAACATTTTTATTTTCTACCCTAGGGTGAAAAATACCAATTTCCGCCCCTAAGGTCGCAAAAACTTTATAACTTAATTAAATGAAACAAGGGACTTAATTTTGATAACAGAGTTGCAATATTATAAGTAAACGAAAACAAAAATTTTATAAGACTAAAATTAGTATTCCTATTGGGAAAATTAATTTAATAAAAAAGAAATCAATTAATTAAAATTTTTCAACTAAATTGCCATTAAAGAAATTTTTTTTAATTGATTGAGAAAATTTTTACTTCTGCGTGCGTGGTAAAAATTTTTCTTTTTTTTAATATCTTACATTGCCAAACTTTACCAAACAAAAAAAATATTTTTTTTATAATTATGCATTATTTTAAGAAACGATTTTTAGAATTTTTTTTCCTTTTTTTTAAATTTAGAAAATTTAGTGTGAATTTTTCACTATATTTTTTATTCTAAAATTTTTCTTTTTCAATTTTTTTTTCTTCTATGTTTAAAATTTTAATTTTTCATTATAAAAAATTATTATAAATGTAAAATTATATTTGTAAACGAAATTATTGTGAGTTTAAAATTTTTTTAATTCTCTCTTTATTTTTAAATTGAGATGCTTATTTTATTTTTAGTAACATAAAGAAAAGAAAGAGAAAAATTTAAATTTAAGTAAAAATTTAAAAAAATTGTAATTTAAATAATTTTGAAAAATGAAAATTTTAATAAAATTAGATATGTAAAAAATTAAAATTTAATTAAAATTGGAAAAGATTGAAATTTCAATAATTGTAAGGAAATAGAAATTTTTATAATTTTAGAAAAATTTCAATTTTACAATAATATTTTGAAGAATTAAAAATTGAAATAAAATTTTGAAAATTCAAGCTTTTTTATAACAAAAGTGCAATTATATTTTGTAAATATAGAGAAAGAACATTGCAATAAAATGAATTGCTTTTTTTGTCTCTATGGCGAGTAATTAGGGTAAATAATCGACCAAACATTGTCGGCTTTAAATCGGAATTGAAACGAGCTTTTATAGTTATAAGATATATAATATAAGTTAATAAAAAAGAAAATTGAGATTAACCATACAACGTGTTATTTATAGAGAAATATTAAAAAAAATTTCAAAAAAATTTCAAAAAAAACGATCATTTCAAATTTAACCCATTTTTTCCATTTAGCCTTTCAAATTACAAAAGGAAAAAAAACATTTCATTTATCGAATTATTAGAAACTTTATCAAATTTATTATAAATAAATTAATTTTCAATAATTTTAAAACGAAAATTTTTTTTTTATTTTAAACTAACAAAATTTAAATTTTTTAATTCTATGAAATTTATTCTTTTAATGTCTGAAGTTATTTATTTAAAAGTGAATTTACTTTTTTTTAAATTTAAAAACAGTAAATTATTCGTAAAAAATTAAATTCTTCGAAATATTTTTTTCTATTTTTAATTTTAAATTATTTATAAAGTACTTTCTCAATCAAATTGTAATTTTTGTTAAAGAAAGAGGGTAGAAATATTAATAAAAATAATAATAAAATAGAATAATAATAATAATAATAATAATAATAGAAAATGGCGGGAAAGAAAAAAAGTAAATCTTCCAAATTAGCTCGAATGAGTGACGAAGAACGTGCTCGTTATTTGCAACATCGAGCAGAAATTGAATTGGAGGCAAAAAGACGAAAACAGGAATTAATTGCAGTTTTTACAAAGGTAATAAAATAAAAAATAAATTATTTAGTTCCCTAGAGACGAAAACGATTACTTTTCTCCCAAGTGTAAAAAAACACTATTTTTTACTCTCTAAGGATTGAAATGCAATCATTTTTTTAATTTTTTTTTTATTTTGCTTCCTAGAGTCTAAAACGATTACTTTTCTCCCCAGTGGTAAAACAGATATTTTACTCCCTAAGGATTATAAATTATTAATTTATTCCCTAGTGTTAAAAACATGCAGTTTTACTCCCTAGGGATTAAAAAAAAGTAAATTTTGACTCTATTTATCGTTGCTTTTTACTCCTAGGGAATAAAATGATCACTTTTGACCCTAGAGTTAAAATGAAACGCTTTTAACTCTGGGATGTTGAAAACTGTACTATAAGGTTAAAAATAATCGTTAACCTAGAGAATAATAATAATAATAATAATGATAGAAATATTAAAAATAATAATAATAATAATAAAATTTTTAGAATAAATTAAAACGTGAAGACGCATTTTCGCGAATAAATACAGCGAAAATAAACGAACAGTGGCGATTTATTTTGAGAAAAATAAAATGTAAAGAATTATATGAGGAAGTTGAATATTTATGGAAAAATTTTTTGCAATCAGTAAATGCAAAAGACGCTGTAATTAATAATTTATGCGAGCAATTAGAAATTGCCGATCTCGATCATCGGAGGTTGCAAGAGGGACATATTGACATTATTGATACACTAATAGGTAAATAATATTAATATTATTAATAAAATAATATTAATAATAATTAAATTTTATTATTTAATTCATTTCATTCCATTTAATTAATAATAATAATAATAATAATAATAATTTAATTGAAAAAATTTTTTTCGGCAAAATTCACACAGTGAGAGGCAAGCAGCGTTTGGAAGTTTTAAGAAAAATGTATCTTCAATCGTTGGAAAAAATAGAAATTATTGACAAAATGGAATTTGAGAAATTAAAAAAAATTCTTAAAGACGATGCACGAAATGTTGAGAGAATAATTTACTCCCAACAAAAATCAATTGACGAAATAATAAATGAAACGAAAATTAAAAATGCCGTTTGGACCTATACCATCGAATATTCGGTAATAAAAATTTTTTTTTTTTGTTAATTTAAAAAATCGAAAAATACAAAGTAGAAAAAAATAACAGAAAAGACAAAAAAATAAATACTTATACAAAAATAAATAATACAAATAATAATACAAAAATAATACAAAAAAAACACAAAATAAGCAAAATACAAAAATTTAATAAATACTAAATAGTAAAAAAATTTAAATTATAAAAAATAGAACAAAATTATGTATAAAATACAAAAAAAAACAAAAATACTTTAAAATATTAAATAATAAAAAACGATTATAAAAACTATAAAAAATTATGTTTCAGAAACAAGGTGACATGTCAGAAATAAAAAAGCGCATTGAATCATTAATGGAAATAGAAAATTTAGAATTGCAAAAAGTAATTTCCAGTTATGAATCATCAACGGAAAGTAAAAGAAAGCAATATGAATATTTAAAGGAGCAGGACGAGGCGAATATTCATGAATTCGCACAATTTCCCAAAATTCATACACAATTATTCGAGTCAGTTGAAAATTTAAAGAATCAATTACACACAATGAAGCGAGAAAGTGACGAAACAATTGACGAATTAAAATCCCAATTGGAAAGATTGTCAAATAAAATTTGGAAATTACGACAAAATTTGAAATTAATGCAAACAATCGATACACTACAATTGAAACGTCTCAGTGTTACTAGCGGAAATATTATCAAGGTTTTCGTCTATAATTTTTACCTCCCTAGAAATTAAAAAAAACCATTTTCAATTCTACAGAGTATTGATAAAATTGCTTTTTCCTTCTTGGGTGTTCAAAAATAACATTCTTCTTCATGTTTTGCAATAATTTAAATTACCATAAAATTTTCCAAAAAAAGTTCATTATTTACAAATATCCTAAATAAAATCCTTCACAAGAATTAAATTATTTACAAAAAAAAATTTAATAAAAATAGTTTTGCAAGAATTCAATTATTTTTTATAAATAATAAATCGATTATTCGGTCATTCATTTTTAAATCAATTTTTATTAGAAAATTCTGGAAGAATTCAATTATTTAAATTAAAAAAATAAATAATTTATTGAATAATTGAACGTTTGTTAAAGTTGAATTCTCCTATAGAATTTTATCAACAAATTTTTAAATAATTTAATTTAAAAAAGAATTTTAAAAATAATTACATTTTTCAAGGAATTCGATTAAAATTGTATCAAAAATAATGAAAATCCTGCGATGAGTTTTATCATTTATGAAAATAATTAAAATTTCTCAAAAATTTTATTAATATAAAATTCTTTTAAAGATTTCAATTATTTTCTTAAATAATAAAATCCTTCGGAGAATTTTAATTATTTTCAAAAATTTTAATAAAATTCTTCGCAAGAATTCAATTATTATCATAAAAAATAAAATTCTTTGGAAGATTTCAATTATTTTCATAAATAATAAAATTCTTCGGAAAATTTCAATTATTTTCAAAAATTTGAAACAGATTCTTGTCAAGAATTCAATTTTTTTTTCATAAATAATCCAATTCTTCGAAGGATTTCAATTATTTTCAAAAATTTGAAACAAATTCTTGTCAAGAATTAAATTTTTTTCATAAATAATTCAATTCTTTGCAGGATTTCAATTCTTTTCATAAACAATCAAATTCTTCGGAAAATTTCAATTATTTTCAAAAATTTGAAACAAATTTTTGTCAAGAATTCAATTCTTTTCATAAATAATTCAATTATTTTCAAAACTTTTAATAAAATTCTTCGCAAGAATTCAATTATTATCAAAAAAAAATTCTTTGGAAAATTTCAATTATTTTCATAAATTTGAAACAAATTCAATTCTTGTCAAGAATTCCATTTTTTTCATAAATAATTCAAATCTTTGGAGGATTTCAATTATTTTTAAAAATTTGAAACAAGTTCTTGTCAAGAATTCAATTTTTTTCATAAATAATTGATTACTTTACAGAATTTCAATTATTTTCAAAAATTTTAAATAAATTCTTGTCAAGAAATCCTATCAAAGTAAAGAATTCAATTATTTAAAAAAAAATGTAATAAAAATCGTTTTGCAAGAATTCAATTATTTTTATAAATAATAAATCAATTATTCGGTCATTCATTTTTAAATTAATTTTTATTAGAAAATTCTGGAAGAATTCAATTATTTAAATTTAAAAATAAATAATTTATTGAATAATTAAATGTTTGTTGAAATTGAATTCTCCTATAGAATTTTATCATAAATTTTTAAATAATTGTATTCTTTTGACAAATTTAAAAAAGAATTTTAAGAATAATTACATTCTTTAAAGGAATTCGATTAAAATTGCATAAAAAAATAATGAAAATCCTGCGATAAGTTTTATCAATTTTTGAAAATAATTAAAATTTTATTAAAATTTTTCTAAAATAATTGAATTTTTTCGGAAAAGAATTTTATTACTTTTGAAAATAATTTAATTCTTCCAAAGAATTTTATTCAAGTTTATAAAAAATAACTGAATTTCTGCGAAGAATTTTTATTATTTATATATAAATAATTGAATTCTCGCAACGAATTTTATTCAAGTCTATAAAAATAATTGAATTTCGGTAAAGTATTTTATAAAAAAAATTTTAAATAATTGATATTTTTCGAAAAATTTTTATGAAATTTTGTATATTAAATAATTGAATTCCTGTCAAAAATTTTATTACTTATGAAAATAATTGAATTATTTCGAAGAAATTTATTTAAAATTTTCTAAATAATTGAATTCCTGTGAAATTTTGCCAAGAATTTTATTGAAAATTTATAAAAATAATTGAATTTCGAAGAAGAATTTTATTATTTATAATAAGATAATTGAAATTTTGACGAGAATTTTTTTCTAATTTTTGAACATAAAATTGAAGTTCTGCGAATTTTTAATTTTCTAGCTAAATGAAAGTTTTGCCAAAAAGAATTAACAAACAATTCTCAAAATCGGGAAAATTAGGAAAATTAGGTACCAATTATAAAAAAATAAGTGAATAAAATTTTTGAAATAAAAACTCACCAATTTTTTTTTTTTTTTTTTGCAGGAACTTGGAGGACTTTTGGAAAAAAGTTGCACGATTCAGTATTTGACAAAGCTTTGTGCCGATCTTGAGCCTCCTTTGTTGATTAAGAAATATTCTGTAAAAGACACCGAGTCGACAAGAGAGATATTAACGACAGGAGTAAGTAAAAAAAAATTAATTCACGCTTTGAATTTATTGTCAATTTAATTTATTTATTTAAAATTAAATTATTTATTAAAAAATAATTTTTTTTTTTTTTTTGACAATTGATAATTGTTTTGTGAAAAATTCTGGGAAAATTCAAAAATTATTTATCGTTTATTTATTTGAAAAATTAAAAAATAATTTATAAAAATAGAGAATATTTATATTATTAAATAAAAGATAAGTAAATAGTAAGTAAATGTAGTGTAAATTTTTTTTTTTTTTGCAGATCGTCGATCTCTACGACAATATGGAAAATTTTTGGCAACAAATAAATCACGTGAAAGCAGAAAATATTCTAATGAAAGAAGAACGAGCTCGACTTGCGTCCGAAAATAATCGTTTAAGAAATAAACTTCGTACATACCTGATATCAATTTCACGAAAAATTCCAATGATTTGACACCGTTTTTCTTTTTTCTTTCACTCACAAAAAAAATCAAGAAACGAGGAGAAAATAATTCAATTTTTTCTTTGAATTTCTCGAGGGGAGGGGGGACAGTCTTCAATTTTTTATTCATCATCATCATTATTGTCCATCATCATCATCTCACATCTTCTCTCTGTAAATCATTCATTCACAAAAAATAATAAAATAAATTAAAATCAAGTGTAAAATACTAAATAATAGGTTAAGAAATTAATTTAATTAATAATTAATAGTAATTATTAATTATTACGTAAAAACCTAATTAGTAACTAATTTAATTAATAATTAACAGTAGTTATTAATTATTACCTAATTAGCAACTAATTTAATTAATAATTAATAGTAATTATTAATTATTACCTAAATACCTAATGGAAAATAATTTAATTAATAATTAATAGTAATTATTAATTATTACCTAAATACCTAATAGAAACTAATTTAATTAATAATTAATAATTAATAATGAATAGTAATTATTATTATTAAATTAGCACCTAATTTAATTATTTACCTTCAGGAAATTTTAAGCCCGAATTTCAGATTCAAAGTTCAATTAAAAAAAGAATTCACTTATTAACTAATTATTATTATTAATTATTTACAAAAAATTTAATTATTATCAATAATTCAATTTCCTTCATTAATTTTTCTCTTTGTGAAAAAAGAAAATGATTTATTGAAAAAAAATCTTTAAATGAGTTTAAAAATAAAACGAAGAAAAAAAAATTGTACAATTCTTATTGTATATGATTTTTTTTTTTTTTAAATTATCGATGTGTAAAAATACCTCCGCCTAGTGGAACGTATTTATAGGGACGTGCTCGTGTTCGGCCCTTAACTGAATAGAAGAAAATTTTCTCCCTTGTCACGCGACCCTCTGTTTCCAGGAAAATATCAAAGCAAGCACGTAGTCTTTGAATTTGTGCTGTGAGTGTTGGTGGTTTTTCCCACATTACATTTATTTCACGTTCCATGTCGCGTATAACGTCGGCCGATGTTAAATTCATTGAATTCATGCTTATACTGAAGACGGGCGTCACTTTTGGATAATCGGGTTTTATTGCAATACGAGCGACAAGTTCATCTGCGAAAAAGAAAATTTTAAAAGTTCATCGCTGGAATTCAATTATTTTCAATGTAATTTTAATAAAATGCTTCGAAACTATTCAATTATTTTGATAAAAAGTACAATTCATCGCAAGAATAATAATTTTTTTATAATCAAAAAACTTCGTCTCAGGAATTCAATTATTTTCAATGCAATTTTAATAAAATTTCTCGAAATGATTCAATTATTTTCAAAAATTTGAATAAAATTCTAAGAAGAATTAAATTATTTTCAAAAATTTGAATAAAATTCTAAGAAGAATTCAATTACTTTAAAAAATAGTAATAAAATTCTAAGAATTCAATTATTTTCAAAAATTTGAATAAAATTATTTAATTATTTTATTCAAATAAAAACTGAAATAAATTTCAGTTCGAAAATTGAATTAAATAAATAAATAGTTAGAAAAATTGAAAAAGAATGAAATAATTATAATTAAAAAATGCTAATGAGAACTTACTGCTATCGCGTCGGAAAACTGCCTCATAAAAGAAATCGACAGAATTAACTAAACCCTCACGACAAAATAATGGCGTCTCGGGATTATTGCAATAACTTCGCCACGACATTGTGACAAATTTATGTAAATATGTGTTGATTTTCGTTGGCATTGGATCTGTTGTCTCGGGAATAATTTGCAAATTTCCCGATTCCAATTGTTGTATTTCGGTGCATAATGCGAGACGCGCTTTTACACGTCGTTTCACTTCTCTCAATACATTCTCAATATTATCGTGAGCAAGTTGTTGACTCGTCACCTGAAAAATCGAAATTATTTTTAAAAAATATATTTGTAAATCTACTTAGAATTTTTTTAGGAAATAGAAAATTGCAATAGAATTATTTTTAGAAAATTGAAAACTACAAACAATTAATTTTCAAATATATAGAAAACAACATTTAAAAAAAAAGAAATTTCCTTTTTAAAGAAGATGTTGACTTTTAAAAGACTTTTAAGATTTTTAGAATCTAGAAAACTGCATAGAATTATTTTTAAAAAATAGAAAACTGCATAGAATTATTTTTAGAAAATCGAAAACTACATAGAAATATTTTTAGAATATAGAAAACAAAAATAATTTTTACATTTGCTCTCTGCTCTTGAACGTCCGGCGCATCGAAATAAATTCCCGCCATTCTTTGCGCCCATTTATAAGGATATCCAAGTCCCAATGAATGAAACGCGCCCAATCGATGTCTTTCCAATTGATAATGATTTGCCGGATTCGGCGATTCCAATCCAGTGTCCTTTGAATAAAGTTCGCGTAATATCGATTCAGATATTAACATATCTCTGTTAAAAAGAGAAAAAATAAGTAAAAAATTAAAAGAAAATAATAATATTAATAAATAAGTAAAAAAACTGAATAAATAAATTAAAAAAATAAACAAAATAATGGAGAAATTTTCCAAAAAAATTTCACCTACCCAGCACTGACACCACCAATGTCGACATTTTCCAAATTCGACTCAACAGTTATGACTTTCAAAATTGTCAAATAGTAAAATTGTAGAGTTAATTTTGTGTCTTCTGCAAAAAAAAAATTAGAAAAATTAGAAAAAACTTGAAAAAAGAAGAATAGAAAACTATAAAATTATATAAAATAAAAATTAAATTAAAATAACTATAAAATTAAAGAAGTTTTTTTACGCACTCGAAAAATTAATTATTAATTTCACACTGAGCGGATGTCGTTGAAGGAGTTTCGATTTTTTATCCTCAAGACGCGCCTCCTTTGACATTCGATGATGTCGTTTTTTGTGCACCGGCGCCTCTTCAATAACATTTTCCCCTGCATTTTCCGCATCCGAATCCGATTCTTGTGGTCGCTCTTGATTATTCGTTCGCTGCGCCTCGTCCTCGTCGCCCTCAATCGTCACCGTTAACGATGAATCTAAAAAAACGTGACAAAAAGAATATAAAAACGTTCCCGAAGGCGTGAAATAAATAAATAAATAAAAAAGAAAAAGAGAAACAAATTAAAAAAAAATAATAGAAGAATAAAGAAAAAGAAAAATAAAAAATAAAAGAAGAATAAAGAAAAATAAAAAATAAAAGAAGAATAAAGAAAAATAAAAATAAAAAATAAATAAAATTCGTAAATGAATAGAAAAGTAAATAAAAATTGAAAAGAGGAAAAAATTCTCTAACCGTAAGCGTCACGATAGGCGGAAGTTTTTGCATAAAGAACGTAAAGAGGCGATGACAACAAAGCAGCCATTTTATGTTCCTGACGAATTTTATCCAACGGAAGACCAAGACTCTCTTGCAATGGTTTACTCGACTAAAGGACAAAACAATTAACGAATTAATAAACAAATTTAAAAAAATACAAACGAATTAATAAACAAATTCAAAAAAATACAAACGAATTAATAAACAAATTCAAAAAAATACAAACAAATTAATAAAAATTTTTTTAAAAAAATACAAACAAAAATTATTATTAGAAGAAAAAAGTAATTATATCCCTTGACTACTTAATTTAACAGAATTTTAAATATAAGAGAAAAAATAATTTCTTTCAGAGAGAATAAAATAACTTTTTAGAAAATAAACAATAATATTTTAGAAATTTTCTATAAACTAGAACTTTAAGGAGCAAAAAAAAAGTGGCTTTAAAAATAAAAATGCTTTTTTCTTTCGAATGACTAACATCCAAAATTGTACGAAGTTGCGGAGCAAGATTATCCAAACGGGCCTGTTTCTGTTCAATACTCGAAGCAACGCCTTTTTTACTATCCGAAAGTTCATCGCAAAGTGATGACAATTGTTTTCGTTGCGTCAATTCCCATTCGAGACGTGCGAGTTTCAATTGATGTTCATCTTTCTTCGTAATTTCCTACAAATATAAAATAAGAAAATATTCTTATTTCTATTTTATAACATAAAAATATAGACCAACAAAAAAAAAACTTTAAATAAAAAATTATTTTTTTTATAAATTTAACTATTAGGAATTTAAAAATAAAAATTATTCAAAATTATTACAATTCATTCTTTTTAAAGTGTCTTAAATAATATATTTTCTTTTTAAAACGAAAATAAAATTTCACTTATTATCATTTTTTTACTATTCTTATGATTTTTCTGATTAAAATATTTTACTATTTTTATGGACATTTTAATTATTTTTCTTATACAAATATTTTACTACTTTTATTTTTTTTCCTATAAATATATTTTACTCTTTTAATTATTTTTCCTATAAAAATATTTTACTATTATTTTTTTCATATCAATATATTTTACTCTTTTAATTATTTTGCCTATAAAAATATTTTACTATTTTTATTTTTTATCCTATCAATATATGTTGGAGTTCAAATATTATAAATTCACTTTTATAATTCGCGGTATTTTAATTATTCTTTGGACACTAGATGTCGTTCTCTTTATTTTTTAATACGACCCCTTCTGGTCAATTTCAATAATACGTCAGTCAGTTGTTTTACTGTAAACGATTTATATCGCTTGTTCTAAAATAAAATATCTACTTTTCTTATTTAATCGCTCGCCTTACTTCTTCCTAAAGTCCAACAATATATTTTACTGTTTTTATTATTTTTCTTATTAATTTATTTTACTTTTACTATTATTATTATTATTATTATTATTATTATTATTATTATTATTATTATAAATAAATAAATATTCAAATTTCTATTCAAGTCGATTTAGAAGAAAAAAAAAGAACGAAACTCACAGGCCGTGAAATTGTTTCGGGCGCTTCTCGATAAAATTCCTCCTCGGAAACTAATTCAATCATTTCGTCTTTAGATCTGTAAGAAAAAAAGAAAATGGTTTATTTCAACAAATTAAAAAAATTAAATATTAAAGAAAATAAATTTATTTGTCGAAGAAAAAAAAATTAGATACTTGAACTGAAATTAATGTTTTCTGAATAAATTGCAATGAAAACAAGTCAAATTTTCATTAAAATTTGAACTTTATTGTAAAAGGGAAATTAATATTTATTAAAGTGTCGAAAACTAATTTTTTTAAAGGGCGAATAAATTAATTTTATTAAAAGGTGAATAAATTAATTTGATTGAAAAGCGAATAAATTAATTTTTTTGAAAAAGGAATAAATTAATTTTATTGAAAGGCGAATAAATTAATTTTATTTGAAGGGCGAAAATTAATTTTATTTAAATATAAATTTATTAAATTTTAATTTTTCTCTCAGAAGAATAAAAAATAAAAAAATAAACTTTACTCACTTGAATTGTAAACATTTCATGACTTCTTTTTTTAAATGCATCACTTCGTAGAGTAAATTTTGTAAATGCAAATGCCGACTGTCGACATTACTTTTTGCGCTTGCCAACGAATCGCGGGCAAATTTTGTACGAAATTTTTCCATTCGATTGAGTTTCTTCAATTCAATGAAAGCCAACGATGTTTTTATTTGTAATTCACTTATTTCCTCCTTCGCCTAAAGAATATTTCAAAATTCACAGTAATTAACAACTAAATAATATTTTTAATAATTAATATTCAAAAATTTCAACAAAAAAAATATTTAATAATTAAAAATTGAAGATTCTTGATAAAATTTTTACTATTTTTAAAAATAATTGAATTGTTTCGAAGAAATTATTAAATTTTTTGAAAATAGTTGAATTGTTTTGGAGAATTTTATGGAAATATTTGAAAATTATTAAATTCTTTCGAGAAATTTAATTAAAGTTTTTTTTTTAAATAATTGAATTTCTGTAAAGAATTTTATTAAAATTAAATATATTCAAAAAAATTGAATTTATCAGAAGAATTTTATTATTTTTTGAAAATAATTGAATTTTTTCAAGTTTTCTGACGAATATATTTAAAAATTGCATTGAAAATAATTTAATTTTCATATAGAATTTTTTTTTTCATATTTTGAGAATAATTGAATTCTTGCAAAAAATTTTATTATTTATAAAAATAATTGAATTATTGCGAAGAATTTTATTGAAATTCCTTAATTATTAATTATTAATTATATTCCTATTATTAAAAATAAAAATAAAATAAATAAAAATAAACTGATTATAAAATCATATTTTTACGATCTTAATATTTTAATTGTTAATTTTAGAAAAAATTTTACTCACTTTTGCATCGTTGCTGGTTTTTAGTTCCGCAATTTTTGTCATTGACTTGCGAATTTCATCGCAAATGTTGAGAAAAGTCTCGGAATCTTTCTCGGAATATCTTTCGACTGCTTCCTTCTCCTCGTAAGTTATTATCGTCTAAATTATCATTTTAAACAAAAGAAAGTTTCATTTTTTGTAAAATTAAAAATAAATTAAATAAAAATTTAAGTATCAATAATTCAATTCTTTTTTTCTTTAAATTAATTTTATTTTTAAGTCCTAATTTATGTTTTTATTTATTATTTACACTTATATATATTTATGTTAATATTTATATAAAAATTAAATAATTTCTAATTAATAATATCATTTTTATGGATTTTTTTATTTGAAATATATATTATTATCATCACAAAGAAATATTTTTGCCGGAATTTCGGAGTAAAAAAAATTTTGAGGTTATGTTTAAAAGACTTCTCCGCGCACTTCTCAATATTATTTATAAAAACAAAATGTCTTAAATATCAAATCTAAAATTGTATTCACGAAGAAAGAAATGCATTATTTTTCCTAAATAAGTTTCTTTAAAACAAAGAAAAATAAATAAAGAATAAAATTTCTCCACAAACCTTATAAACATCTCCGTCCTTCATTGCTGTCGTTTCAACTGATTTTCTTCTTTTTTTCGAATGCTCCGTATCACTTTCCTTCACCATTTTTCACTGTTATTCCCGACAAAATTGTTAAAATCGTTAGAAAAAGAAGAATTAAAGATTAAAACCAATTAAAACCATTTAAAACGAAAATATTTATGTAATTTTCACGCAAGTTGCGGGTTGCATGTCAAATCAATAAGGTTAGGTTGGTTTTCGGTCGGTAAAAAAGAACTGTAAATAAAAAAAAGCGCGCGAAATTTCAAATTTAGAAAAAATTCCTAATTTCGAAAAATTATTTTTTCTCGCCGTAAAATTTTAATTTTTTTTCAGTTGTTAAAAATAATAACAAATATATTAAAATATTAACATTATTATATAATATAATTAATATATTATTAATATAATGTTAATATAATTAAGTATAATATAATTAAAATTAAAAATATACAATTTTGCAATAATTATATTTATTTATCAATTTATTAAATATAAATAATTAATTTTTTAAATTTTCAAAAATTTTCCCCGCCTTTTTCTCAATGCAAATTTCAAGAAGATTGAAAAATTTTATTATTTTACAATTTTCAATAAAAATGAAGAACACAAAGTTGTAAATTAAAGAAAACTAAAAATTATTTCTTTTTATAATAAGAATAGATTGAAAGTTGATTTTTTGTGTAAAAAAAAACTTTTGACCCCGACGTGATTTGAACACGCAACCTTCTGATCTGGAGTCAGACGCGCTACCGTTGCGCCACGGAGTCATCATGTTAACGATTTTTCACACCGTTGTTTTTAGTGGCGGCTGACCTCGATTTCATCAAACGGCAATAATTACTTTTTAACCAAAGAAAATATAAGGGTGGAAATAATTTTCTATTCACTAATTTAATAATTTTATAGTAAATTAATAAATTTACCTATATTTTAATTTAAAAAATCAGAAATTTTTTTTTTTCCTTTTAAATATTAAGGTTCTATCGATTAATCGAATTGTATTCACTTCCGGTCGATTTTCCCCCGCTTTCAAATAACTTTTTTTCTATTTTGATTTTTATGAAAGAAAATTCACAGGGAAAATAGAAATTAATGTTTACTGTAAATATTATGAATTTTTGGAAATTGACTTTGTTACTAACTTGTAAATTATACAGTTGTTTTTACGTTTTTTTTAGTAAAAATAGAATTTTTACCATGTCACGTGACTTCCGTTATGTGGCGGCCGTTATTTTCGAAATTGTAAACTTATTTCTTTTTTTGTTTATTATTATTATAAATTTTCATTCTTTTCGCTTCTTTTTTTTTTATTGTTTAAAAAATGTAAAAAAATGATGATAAACAAATTTCTTTGATATTAAATTAGAAGAATTTATTTTGTTTATATTGTGAAGTGTGAAACTATCTGTTCACAACTGTTTTTTTTTTGGTTGCGAATGGCGTCACTTGTCAAGGCGTCGATTTTTCGCTCTCTCTCCGTTTCGTATTTTGAAACAAAAAAAAAGTGTTAATTGTTTGTGAATGATAAAATGTTGATAAACAATTGAATTTTGTGTTTGTTTGTTTGTGTAAAAATTAATTGAAAGGTGAGTGATTGATTCTATTTTTTATTCTAAAAAGAAGGCAAAATGTTTTGCTCCAATTTTTAAGGTTAGAGAAGTGACAAAATAGAATATATACTTTTGACGCATTTCCTTTTTCTTCTAATAAAAAATAAGGAGTTAATTTTTATCTTTTGTGGAAAATATTTATTTGCTTTGTTTTGTCTGTGCTCTCGATTCACATTTATCAGGAAAAATCTATTCAAATTCTTTTCGTAAACATAAAGTGCATGAATTTATTCTCGATGTTTTGATTAACCTAACCTCAAAAATAATTTAACGCGGGATTTCTTTCTTCTAAAAAAAGTAAAATATTTCTTATGTTCCGATATTTATTTGCACACCACGAATTATAGAATTATTCATTAATTATAATTATTAATTATTATTATTTATTCACTGGCTTTTAAAAATTGAAAAATTGGACAAGATGAATTTTGTTTATGATTTTTCGATCGTTTTGGAAATTTTGTGTTTTTTTCCTCAAAAATTCCACATATTAAAATTTAATTCGTTATTTATTTCATTTATTTTATTTATTTATTTCAATTTTCTTGAAAATAATGGATTTTTCAAAAATAATTTGTACTGAAAATTTTGAAAGTAATTGAATTTTATGATGATTTTCTTTTAGGTTTTAAGAAATAATCGTGTTTATTATTAATTTAAGAATAATAAATTCAACAATAATAAATTTAATAATCCTGTTAATTTTTAAATAAATAAATAAGTAAATAAATAATTGTAATTAATAATTTTCTTATTAAATTATATTAAAATTATTCGTAGAAAATTAAATTCTTTTAAACAATTTTATTAGAGTTTTTGTAAATAATTACATTTTTTTTGAAGAATTTCATTAAATTTCGTAAAAATAATGTAATTTTTTTAAAAACAATTTTAATTGAAAATTTTGAAAATAATTGAAATTTACAAAGAATTTTATTAAAAACTTTGAGAACAATTTGAATTGTTTAGAATTTTTTCCTAGAAATTTTATTAAAATTGTATTGAAAATAATTGAATTTCTCAGAAAAATTTTATTATTTACGAAAATAATTGAATTATTGACAAGAATTTTACAATTTATAAAAATAATTGAATTATTTCGAAGAATTTTCTAAAATCTGCATTTTTAAAAATAATTGAATTTTTTAAAGGAATTTTGTCAAAAATTTTGAAAATAATTGATTTCTTTCGAAGAATTTTATTTGAATTTTTGAAAATAATTGAATTTTTTAAAAGAATTTTATTAAAAATTTTGAAAATTATGATTTTTTTTTTTAAATTTCAAGTTTTTTATAAAAATTGACGAAAATAATTGAATTTGTATTAAAATTCTTTAAAATAATCGAATTTAATTAATATTCTATAAAATAATGTACTTATTTAAAAAAATACAGTTTTATTTTGTACAATATTTTTATTTCTAGCCCGTTTACATTTAAAAAAGAAATATATAACTTTTAGAAAGCAAATTAATAAAATGATAATTAACTATGTTTTTTTTTTAAAGAATGGCACAAAAGAATCAGCAGAACGTTGAGGAGGATGAGGAAATGGACATTGATCGAGATCAGGATGGTGGATTTTATTCCGACGAGGAAGGTGGATTGAGAATTGACGACGAAATTTATATTCCACCGAGGCCAACGGAATTTGGCGAAGTCGACACAACTGGTCCACGTTTAATGATAACGCACATTCATAATGTGAATTTTAAAAGTTACGCCGGCGAGCAAACAGTCGGACCATTTCATAAGGTTTTGCTTTTACTTTACTTAATTTTTTTTAGTTAGTTAATCTTTAACATTCGAGATTTTTTATAAAGCAGGGTAAATAAAATGAAAACATAAAAATTCGGACATTGTCCGAATGTTTTCGTTTTATTTACTTACCTAATTTTACTATTTTATACTTAAAAACTATAATTTTTCTTTCAGTGTTTCTCGGCGATAGTCGGTCCAAATGGAAGTGGAAAGAGTAACGTGATTGATTCACTGCTCTTTGTATTTGGCTACAGAGCGAGTAAAATTCGTTCGAAAAAAATCTCCGTCCTCATTCACAATTCAAGTGAACATCTCAATGTGAAAAGTTGCACTGTCTCTATTCACTTTCAACAAATTATTGACAAGGTAATGGATAGAGGAAAAGTCGAGAAAAATCGAACGATTTATCAATATATAAAGGGTGTTTTTTTTCAAATCTGAGCTATCATGATTGAGTCGCCCTCATTTTAAATATTTTGACTCGAAATCCAACAGTGTATGTTTCAAAACGTACTCTCAAATATATTATATATATATAAAATATATATAATTTTATATACCCAACGTTAGACTTTGAAAAAATCGTTACAAATTTTTATTTTCATTTTATTATCCAATTATTATAATACTGCCCAATAACGAAAAAATATTAGACTTTCGGTTGATTTTTGTAAGTTTATACTCTAGAAACTTCGACCTAAGCGACAAAGGACTCTTCGTTATTTTTTCCGTTGTAGGGCAGAATTTATAATTAACATAATATCACTATTTTTTTTTTAATAAGACAATTATATATTTGCAGGAAGGGGATGATTATGAGATCGTGCCAAACAGTCAGTTTGTAATTTCACGAACGGCTTTTAAGGACAGTTCATCGTATTATCAATTGGATGGGAGAAAAGTCATTTTCAAAGAAATCGCAAAACTTCTCCGTTCGCATGGCGTCGATTTGGATCATAATCGGTTTTTAATTTTGCAGGTAATTTTTCCGTTTTCTTTCTTAAAATATTTTATTATTTTAATTTTGAAATAAAATTTCAAAATAAAATAAATTTTCTTCTCACTCTCGTTTCAGGGGGAAGTTGAACAAATTGCTCTAATGAAACCAAAAGGCCAAGGCGATAATGACACTGGTCTGTTAGAATTTCTCGAGGATATTATTGGCACAAATCGCTATAAAGAGCCACTCGAGAAATTAAATGAAAAAGTTGAAATAATGACAGATCGACGAACAGAAAAATTACATCGTCTTCGTCTTGTTGAAAAAGAAAAGAAGGATCTCGAAGAACCAATGCAAGATGCAGTGCAATTTTTAAAATGTGAAAATTCAATAATTAAATATCAACATCAATTATATCATCGTAAGCGTTACGATGCAAAAATTGAATTTGATGCACAGGAGAAAAATTTTGCCGAACAGGAGAAAGATTATAATGAATTAATGGAGAAAATGAAGAAAATACAAGAGGAGAAAATTGAAAAGCAAAAGGAATTTAAGGAGAGGAGTAAAAAATGGGAAAAATTGCAAAACGATAAGGATGCAAAGACGACGGAATTCGATGAGATTCGTAAACAAGATCAAGCACTGCAGGAGGAATTGGTTGAGACAAATAATCGAAGGAAGAAAAATAGAGCCGCTGTTAAAACGGAAATGGGAAAATTGGAGGAACTGCAACGTGTTCCTGAGAAGAATGCCAAAGATATTGAGGAATATGAGGAATTGATAAAGAAAAGTAGTGTCGAGAGGGAGAAAGAGGAGGAGACATTGAAAACAATGATGAGCAGTTTAAAGGAGAAAACAGAACCATTGTTGAAGGAACGTGTTAAACAGGAGACGGCGCTTATTGAATTGAGAAAAAAGGTCGATGAGGCTAAATCGGCGTTTGATATTGCCCAATCGGAATTGCAACTCTACACTTCTGAGGAGGAGAAGGAAAAGGGGAAATTACAACAATTACAAGAGGCTTTAACTAGGTTCAAAAATTTATCATTTTTCGTTTGCTTTTCTACTGTTTTTCGATTTTTGTTCCTTTTTGGTTCTCATTTAGATTCTGATTTCTTATATTTTCTATTTTCATTTTTCTATTTTTTATTCTATTTTTAGTTTATTTTTCTATTTTTTACTCTATTTTTAGTTTATTTTCTATTTTTTAGTCTATTTTTAGTTTATTTTCTATTTTAATTTCACACTTTTTATTTACATTTATTTAAAAATTCTTTTTCTTCATTTTTTGATCTGCATTTTATTTTTTAAATAGTTCTCTACTTTTTTTTAACTCTAATTTTTGCTTTGTTTACTTTTCCAATTTATTTTATTGTTTTGTTTGCTTTTAGCAAAATAATTACCTTAGGAACGAACTACTGATGATTTTTATTCCGATATGACAAACAGAAAATCACTCATTCTAGAGGAACCTGCAAGTGAATTTTAATTCCGATATGAAAAAAAATAAAATCTCTTATTCTAGAGAAGATTTTTATTCCGATATGAAAAACAAGAGTATTCTACGCGAAGCGAACAACCAAAAACTTTTAACTGAAAAAACTATTTTTAAAATAATTTTATTTTAGATAAAGTGCATGAATATAAACTAAAAATTACTTGGTTTTTAAAGTGTCTTTAATTTAGTGAATTTTAATTTTTAAAATTTTAAATAATTTTTATTGAAGAAAGTAAAGAAATAAGAGTTTTAAGTTTATTTTCGAAGATCTTTGAGCAATTAAAAAGAAAATTTTGAAAATGGATTAAAAATAGTTTAATATGCGTAACAGGGTAGTATTAAAAAAAAATCAAATTTCGATTAATTGTTAGACGTTTTTTCTGTTAGAAGTTTTGGTTGTTCGCTTGGGGTAGAATGTTCTAAACACAAAATAACTCATTTTAGAGAATTCTGGGGGGAAATTTTAATTTCGATATGACAAAACACAAAATTTATCCTTCTAAAGGATTATTTTGGCTGATTATTATTCCGATATGACAAACACAAAATTTATCCTTCTAAAGGATTATTTTGGCTGATTATTATTCCGATATGACAAACACAAAATTTATCCTTCTAAAGGATTCTTTTGGCTGATTATTATTCCGATATGACAAAGAAACACAAAATTTATCCTTCTAAAGGATTCTTTTGGCTGATTATTATTCCGATATGACAAACACAAAATTTATCCTTCTAAAGGATCCTATTGGTGGATTTTTATTCCGATATGATTAAGTAATTAAGCATATTTTCTTTTACTTAAAATTTTTTTTCTGTTTTTTTTTTATTACAAGGAAAAGAAATATAAAGCAAATTTTACATCATTTAAAAGTAGAAATCTAAAATGTCTGTAATTTCTCGCAATTTTATTACTTCTACAGAGTAAATTTTTCAATTTTTGAAGTAAATTTCACTAATTTTATTTGAAATTTACACTCGAAAATTGTAAAATTTACTTCGGTAATTTTATTTTTTATTTTTCCGTTTAAAGTTTTCTTTAAGAAATGATTCTTCGCTTAAATTTTTTGTTTATTTATATTTTTTGATTATTTTTCGTTAAAAAAATTATTCTTTGCGTTTATTTAATTATTTATTAGTTTTTTTTTGGTATTTTCGTTTATTTTTTGTTTTTGTTATTTTGTATTTTTACTCTAAAGATTTTTCTTTCCATATTTTATTGCTTTTTCTGTATTTCTCTCGTTTTCTTCTCTAAGAATCTTTCTTTGTTTTTCCTTCCTTAAAAGCAGATATTTTTCTTTATTTTTTAATTTTTCTTGATTTTTTGGTATTTTTCCTTGATTTTTTCTGTTGTTTTTTCATTTCTTTTTCTAGAAAACAAGATTTTTTGCATTGGTCTTTGATTTTTCTTTTTATTCTTTGAGCTTCTTTTCTTTTCGGAAGTTCATGTTTTTTCTTTTATTTATTTTTTTTTGCATTGGTCTTTGATTTTTCTTTCTATTTTTTGAGTTTCTTTTCTTTTTGAAAGTTCATATATTTTTTCTTTTATTTATTTTCTTTTTGCATTTTATCAATTTTGTTTCTAAAAAAATGATTTTTGCTTTTTTTCAAACTTTCCATTACTTTTTTTCTCTTTCCCTTCTTTTTCTTTTCTCTAAAAACATATTCTTTGCTTTTATTTAATTTTTTGGGTGTTTTTTACTTCTTTTTTATTTTACTTTGTATGGTTTTATTCTTTTTTTGTCACTTTTTCTTTTTTTGTGTTCATTTAATTTTTCTCTTCTGTATTTTATTTATAAGTGACGCGGTTCGAAGAAAGTTACCTCAGAAGCAAAAGATTTTAAGTTATGTTTGTAATTTTTGGAATCAAAATACACAAAGAGGTTGCAACTCTAAATATAAATCACTGATGTTTAAGTCTTCCCTACATTTGAAAAAATTAATAAAATCCGAATAGTTATTAATTAATGAAAATAGAAACTTTTAATTAATGTACAAATAATACAAACATAACCTTAAGATAATTTGCTGCTTAGGTATTTTTCTTCGGAACGCGTCACATATTTTCTCCTTTATTATGAATTATAATTATTTATTTAGAAATTAACAGGCAAAGAAGCCTTGAATATTAATCTTGAAAGTGATTAGTATTGTTACGACCATATAAATTTATCATAAAATAATTGATTATCTATTACATTCTCTTTTTCTATTTTCTTTTATTATTTATTTCTAATTTCTTGTCCCCCTAAAAATAAATTCATTCCTTGTCTCTTTTTTCAATATTTGATAATTTTTTTTATTACCCATCTTTTAATTATTTTAATTGTCTCTTTTTTCAATATTTGATAATTTTTTTTATTACCCACCTTTTAATTGTTTAATAATTTAATTTTTCTCTTTGTTCTTCTCTTTGAAAAATAGTACAACCGAAACACTGGAGGATAGACGAAAACAATTAGGAGAATTGGAGAGAGAAATTCCCGCCACTCAGAAGAGTATCGCCGAAGTAGAACGTAAATTAGATGATTTAAAAACTCGTGAAGCGGAAGTAACACAAAAATTACGTACAAAAAGAGTGCAATTTGACGAGCAACAATCATCAATGAAAGCGAGTCATTCGCGCAATCTTGTTCTCGGCGCGCTTATGACAGAAAAACGCAAAGGCCGTATAACCGGTATTTTCGGTCGTCTCGGTGATTTAGGAGCAATTGACGCCAAATACGATGTTGCAATATCAACAGCTTGCGGTCCCCTCGATAATATTGTCGTCGATACAGTGAGCACCGCGGAAATGTGCATAAAACATCTCCGCGACAATGATCTTGGACGCGCGACATTCATTCCCCTCGAGAAACAACAGCGTTTCGCGCAACAATGTCGTCAGAGAATTCAAACACCCGAACAAGTTCCGCGATTATTTGATTTAATTCAAATCGAGGATGAACGTTTACGTCCGGCTTTTTTCTACGCGTTGCAAAATACACTCGTCGCCGAAGATTTGGATCAAGCGACAAGAATCGCTTACGGTTCGCAACGCCATCGAGTCGTGACGCTAAGGGGCGAATTGATCGAAGTCGCCGGAACGATGAGCGGCGGCGGTCGAACCTCCCTACGCGGTCGAATGGGCCAACGCGTCGTGAGAAACGAGCCCAACGAGACCGACGTCGAACAACTCAAAGCCGAACTCGATCAACTCTTCGCCAATGTCAATCAGCTGAAAATGGAGCAAACTCCCCTCGAGAACCAACATCAAACCCTCGTGAGAGCCCTTCGCGAAATGGAAGTCACTCGCGATAGATTTAAACTCGAACTGAAGAATCTCATCGAACAGGAACCGCTTCTTCAGCAACAACTCAAAGAACAAGAGAAGAAGACCAAAAATTCAGTGTCGAATCCCCAACGCGTTAAGGAACTTACCAAGAGCGTCGAAAGTGCCGAACAACGTCTCCAAACCGCCGAAGAGTCCTCAAGTTCCACCGAAGAGAAAGTCGCGAAAATAAACCAAGAAATAGACATAATTGCGGGAAATCGCGTTAAGGTACAACAGAAAAAAATTGCCGAACTCACCAAAACAATCGACAAAGCGAATGGCGAAGTCGTCCGTTTGAACGTCGCGATTAAAACCGCCGCCCGAACTACCACAAAAACAGAACAAAGAATCGCCACCTTAGAAACAGACGTCACCAATTGTGAACAAAGAATCCTCGCCGCCAAACAGGAGAAGGAAAAATTCGAAGAAATCGGCAAACAGCTACTTAAGGATCTCAAGGAACTGAACGAACAACTACAGGAACGAGATGAAGCAACCGCCGAACAGAAAGAAGCACTTTCTGTTCTCCAAACAAATGAAAGCGAACTAAAATCCAAAAAGATAGACTTCGATCAAAAAATAAGCGAACTAAAGAAGAAGATCCTAGAAATCGGGGGTAAAATACCAGAGTATGGTAAAAGAATCCGCGGGCTAAAACTACACAAAATTCCGGAGAGTGACCAAGAGGAATTAATCGAACCAACCCAGGAGGAACTGGACAACTTTGACGAGAAGATAATTCAACAAAATTTACAACGAGCGAAGGAAAAATTACCGGAGGAAATACCGAATATGCAGTACATTAAGGACTATCAAGAGAAGGATCGTTTATACCTGGAGAGAGCGGCCGAACTCGATGTTATAACAACCGAGAGAAATAATCTTCGTGACATCTACGAGGGCGCCAAGAGACGACGAATGGAAGAATTCCGCAATGGTTTCAAAATAATAACAACAAAATTAAAGGAAATGTATCAAATGATAACCTTAGGCGGCGACGCCGAATTGGAATTAGTCGACTCTCTAGATCCCTTCAGCGAAGGTATTGTCTTCAGTGTACGTCCTCCAAAGAAGTCTTGGAAAAATATCAGCAATCTGAGTGGTGGTGAAAAAACCCTAAGTTCCCTGGCTTTGATCTTTGCCCTTCATCACTATAAACCGACGCCATTTTATTTTATGGACGAAATTGACGCTGCTTTGGACTTTAAGAATGTATCGATTGTCGGTAATTATATAAAGGAACGAACAAAGAATGCACAGTTTATTGTGATATCGTTGAGATTTAATATGTTTGAGTTGGCGAATTATTTGGTTGGTATTTATAAGACTTATAATTGTACAAAGTGTGCGACATTGGAGGTTAATAAGGCGTATAAACATCATGGAATAGCACCGCCTGTACAATTGAATAATATGACGCAGCAAAAGAATCGTTATTTGACGCAGTCGCAAAAAATGAGTCAGCCATCGATTAATGAACAGGATTTATTGAAGAGTGTTGATGGATTACAACAGGTGGCGACATGCTCGGATCATAATGAAATGGAGGAGAATTGTGACAAAGGGGAAAATAATGCGGTCACTAAGTAAGAAAATATTAATTTTCTATTTAAAAAAAAAAATTGTCCCTAGCCCTCAGTGTACTAACTGGGTTAGCGTAACCCAGGCGAATTTTGAGCAATCGAGGCTTGTTGTTCGAGCTACGAATTATTGAAATTTGTATTCGGGTGAATTTCACCCAGTTAGTACGCTATGTCATAAAATCAATGTTTTTGTGAATTGTGAAATTTCATTAAATTAATCCAAAATTATTCATAAATTACATTTAAAAGTCCATAAAGTGTAAAGACAACCAATAATCTCTTATCGTTGTGCACCACTAATTAGCCAAAAGTAATTGACGATGAAGAAAAAGGGGTGAAAATTTATAAATAAGAATTGGATTTTGAAAATGTGAAATATAATTTAAAGTCTTGAAAGAGATTCTGATATGATTGTTTTAAAGAGATTCTGATACCGATATGATTATCTTAAGGAGATTCCTATTTCGATATCTGTATTTTTAGACGATTCAGATTCTAATATAATTACTTTATAAAGATTTTGATTTCGATATTAGTTCCTCAACCTATATTTAACAGGGTCACTAAATTTTTTTTTTTGAAGTTTAAATAGAAAACTAACGTTTATTATAAAAGATATTTTTAAATTTTGCCTTGTCGAGAAAAAATCAATTTTTTAAGATTTACAATTTTAATGTTCGACTAGTCGAACTGCTATTCGATATGGGTTGAAGTTTTAAATACTAATATTCGAATCAGAATCTGTTAAAGTTTGAAAAGATTATGATTCTGATATAAAAACTTAGAGATTTTGATTTCAATATAATTTTTTTAAAAAGATTCTGATTATGTAATATAATTCGGATTCTCAAAAGAGATTAGGTACTATTCTGATATTTTTTTTATTTAAAGTTTTAACTACTAATATTCGATTCAGAATCTCAAATTTTAAAGATGCAATAAACTAAAATCAATTTCGAGTAAGAATCTTTATTGTTAAACAAAATTATAAATATAAATTTAAGACTTGGATTTTGAAAATGTAAACTATATGACACAGAAAAGAAGGGACTAAGAGCCGAGAAAGCAATCAAGATGGTTATTTTATTTTCGAAGTTTTTTTAACTCGTTAATTACGAATTTAAAATCAGATTTAATAAATTTAAAATGACGGATCCAATATGGCGGCCGATTTTTTAAAAAATCTTAGAATTCGCCTGAAATTTGTTACTTGAGGGGTTCTTGGTGTCACTTGTCACGTATTCGGTTAGATTTTAAAAATTCAATATGGCGGATCCAATATGGCTGTCGAATTAATAAAAAATCTTAGAATTTGTTTGAAATTTGTTACTCAGGGGTTTTTGGGGTCAGAGATTACGAATTTGATGTTAGTTTTTGAAAATTCGAAATGGCGAATCCAATATGGCGATCGAATTTTTTAAAAAATCTTAGAATTCGCTTGAAATTTATAAATCCGGATCTCGATAAGTATTTACAAGTGTAGATGATTTTTCGTAAGTTTTGTAGAAATTCATATTTAGTAATATATTAAAAAATAAAAATTCCCATCTAAATTTATTTCTCGTCTCTTAAAACATTCTGCCCTTGTTTTCTTAAAATGAAAAGGCAATTGATAATGTTAGTTTAGAGTAGATATTTTTTTTTGCAATAATTTCATATTTTAAACTTAGTTTTTTATAATAATAATAATAATGTAAAATACGATGCTAGTAAAAATATAAAAAAATTGGTAATCATTTTAAAATCCTCGTCCCTTAGACTTAGTACGTAAAAGGCGAAAGACTTCAAGACGTAAAAATTATGACTTAAGACACGACTTAGAACTTAACTTTACTATCTTTTTTTCAAATTAACAAATAATCGACACTTGTTAGTAAAGAACAATCCCACTAATTAAACATAAAGTTATAAATTAAAGTTTTTTTTAAATTTACATTTGAATCTAAGTTAAAATATTAAAAGAAGAAAAACGTATTTTACAGTGTACCGGATCTCGAATTGTGTCCAACGCCACGAAGAAATTCCGAGGGACGAGAGAGGAGATCGCTCTCCTTAAGTGAATTATCCGAAGGTGACAATGAAGAAAATTCTTTTATTAATAAAACAGATGAAGCTGAAGAGCCAACGCCGAAAAAAAGACGATTACAACGTAAGAGAACTCGTTAACTAAAAATATATATATATATTTATAAATAATATGAAAATTAAAAAAAAAAAATAGTTGACTGTAATTACGAAAAAGAAAAAAAGGAAAGAAAAAAAATATTAAATATATATATATATTTTTTTAAAGTTTAATTTCAAGTAACTTTTTTCTAATTCTGTTAAATAACAATAGTTTATTGTAATAATAACGACTATACTATTATAGTGTATAAAAAAATCATTTAAAAACAAATTTTTTTTCAATAAGTATATAATATAAAATAGGAAAAATGAAAATAAGTGCTCTTTTAAAATACTAACGTCCAACGGATATTTTTTATACTATGAAAAATTATAAAGTTATTGTATTTAGTTTAATATTAATAATGTAAATGAATAATATGATTTAAATGATAAAAAATAGAAAGTATTGTTAATTTTTATAATTATAAACATTAATAGTAATAAATAACAGAAATTAGAAAATAAAAGAAAGTGTTATTCATTATATTATTTCTACCTTAAATCGAAAAAAAATTCACTAAGTTTTGTTGGATTTAGAGTAAAAAATTATTTTTAAAAAAATTCGAAATTGCTAAGATTAAAAAAAAATTGACCGCCATATTGGATCCGCCATTTTGAATTGTTAAAATCCGACTTCAAATCCGTAATCAAAAACCCCAAAAACCTCTCAAATAACAAGTTTCAAGCGAATTCTGAAACTTTTTAAAAAATGCGACCGCCATATTGGATCCAACATTTTGAAATTTCGAGAAGTAACGTTAAATTCGTAATCTTTGACATAAAAAACCCCCCGTAACATATTTCAAGAAAATAATGCTTTTTATAAAAATCGTCCGCCATTTTAGATCCGCTATTTAGAATTTTCAAAAACTAACAACAAATTCGAAATCAGCGACCCCAAAAACCCCTGAGTAACAAGTTTCAAGTGAATTCTAAGACTTTTTAAAAAATTTGATCGCCATATTGGATCCGCCATTTTGAATTTTGGAAAACTAACATTGAATTCGTAATCTTTGACCATAAAAATCCCCGAGTAACAAATTTCAAGTGGTTTTTAAGATTTTCTAAAAATTCGACCGCCATATTGAATCTGGCATTTATTAGTTTTAAAATCCGACCTCAAATTCGTTATCTGTGACCCCAAAAACCCCCGAGCAACAAATTTCAAGACAATTTTAACACTTCTTATAAAAATCATTCGCCATATTGGATCCGCCATTTTGAATTTTCAAAAACTAACATCAAATTCGAAATCAGCGACCCCGAGAACTCCCGAGTAACAAATTACAAGCAAATTCTAACGCTTTTTAAAAAAATCGTCCGCCATGTTGGATCCGCCATTTTGAATTTTTTAAATCTGACTTCGAATTCGTATTTGGGTTCAATAAATACGATTTGGGTAAAAATAAGTACAAAGTTTAGAAAATTTTTAAATCCACTTTAAATTTTGTTACTCGAGTGTTACTCGGTCAATGGTTGCAAATTTAAAGTGGAATTTAAAAAAATCCAAAATGGCTGATGAATGATTAAACAGCTGTAAAATACACTTACAATTTGTAGGAGTTTTCGGATTAAGATTTTTTTATTGTTTATTTGTAGAGCCAATTTATACGATTTTGGCCATAAAAGTACAACATTCAAAATTGTGGATCCAATATGGCCGACGAATTTCTGAAAAAAATAATAATTTGTTTGAAAATTCGTTTGTAAAACAAATTGCAGTCAGATTTTACAAATTCAAAAAGGCGGATCCAATATGGAGGGCAAAATTTTAAAAATATTATAATTCGCTTGAAATTTGTTACTCGGGGGTTTTCGGGGTCGTTGATTACGAATCTGGAGTCGGATTTTAAATATTCAAAATGGCGGATCCAATATGGCTGTCCAATTCATAAAAAATCTTAGAATTTGTTTGAAATTTGTTACTCAGGGGTTTTTGGGGTCAGAGATTATGAATTTGATGTTAGTTTTGGAAAAATTCAAAATGGCAAATCCAATATGGCGGTCGAATTTTTTTAAAAATCTTAAAAACCGCTTAAAATTTGTTACTCGGGGGTTTTTGGGGTCAGAGATTACGAATTTGATGTTAGTTTTTAAAAATTCAAAATGGCGGATCCAATATGGCGGTTGAATTTTTTTGAAAATCTTAAAAATCGCTTAAAATTTGTTACTCGGGGGTTTTCGGGGTCGCTTATTATGAATTTGATGTTAGTTTTTGAAAATTCAAAATGTCGGATTTTTGTGCCGTAATACAGTACAAATTTTATTAATGTTTTAATTTTTAAATTACGTTAACATTCGTATATATATGAATATTCAATTTTATTGTTGTTACATTTTTAAAAAAAATCTCTTATTTTTTAAAAAAGCTTTGTTTTTTTCCAAAAAAAATTTTTCTGAACCTATTTAAAAAAAAAAATTGTTGTCGCAGTTATTTTCTCAGAAAAAAAACTTTTCCTTTCACCTATTTAAAAAAAACTATTTTTTCGTATGTATTTAAAAAAAAAAAAAAAAAAAAAAATGTATACAATTATTTTTTGCACTTTAACGGAAACGATAGATTTTCCACTATAAAGCTATGTGAGCGCGTGAGATTAGACGTATATCAAACGGTGTGCTGTAAAAGTAGTGGGGATCTTGCAATATTCAAGCGCTGTGGTAAAAAGAGGGGCACGACTTATAAACACTTGAATCATCAAAAAATTGTGTTTTCAATGTAAAATGAGCGTAACAAAAGTGCAAGAAATATGTCCATACACTGGACCTCCCACTCCACCAGGTAAGTTGTTTATAAACAATTTTTTCATTATTGAATAAAATATTTTTAAAAAAATTTCATAAATTTAATATTTTGAAAAAATTTCTTTCCAGAAAATTTGTAAATAATTTTTTTCTTTTAGATTTACAATAGTTATTTCGAAATTAATAACAATAATAATTTAAAAAAAAAAATACATAGAAAATATACAATTGTTATTTCGAAATTAATAACAATAATAATTAAAAAAAAAATACATAGAAAATAAAAATAAAAAAAGTAAATAATAATAATAATAATAATAATAATACCAATAATAACAAAAGTAATAATAATGTTAATAATAATAATTAAAATAATTAATAAATTAATATTAATAAAAATAAATTTTAATAAAGTGTACGAAATACAAAAAAAAAAATTTAAAAGAATGTTTTTAAGCGAAAATTTTTTTATGTAAGAACAGCAGAAAGATAATAATTTCCGTTTTTTAACAAAATAATAATTTTTAATAATAATACTTTTTTATTGAAAAAAGAAAATTAGTTTTTTAAAGTTGTTTTAAAAATTCCATTTGTAAAATATTTTATTACTATTTTGTGAATGTAAAAATTTTTGTTTATTTTTTTCCACTACATATATTTTATCTTCATTTCTTTTTGCATTTAAAGTTTTGTAACTGTGTTTTTTTTCTTTTCGTCTAATTTTATCTATTCAAAACGTAAACAATAAAGTTTTTCACTAAATAATTATTTACATAATTTTAAGTGTACACTGAATATTTTTGTTTTGTTTATTAAAAAATTTTCAAAAATTAAAAAATTCTTTTAAATTATATTTTATTTCAACTGAGAGGCAATACAATTTTTTGTTAATAATCGCCAGTAGAAAATATGTTTATAAGATTTTTATCATTCCTCTGATAATAATGATGAAGAGGAAAAATATTTTCTACATAATATTTAGTTTATGTTTTTTTTTTTCATATTTCATAGAAATATGTTTTTTAATTTTTTAATTTAATTCATAAATAGCTAAAAATGAATGAAAATAAATTATAATATTAATTTAAATAATAATAAAATTTTGATAAATAAATTATAATATTTTTTTTTAATTTTAATTAATTTTTAAATATTTTTTTCTATAACTTTTTCATTCTCAAATTTTTTAATTAATATAGTTATTAGTTTATTATTTATTATTATTAGTTTATTTAGTTTTTTATTATTATTTGTTAATTAATTTTCTAATTAATTTTTATTAATTATTCTTGATAATTAATTTTCTTTTTTAATATTTATTTTTAAATTTATACACTTTCTGTTAATTTTTCATTTGAAAATATTTACATTTTTATAATTAAATTTATAAAAATTTTAAAAACAAAATTTTTTTATTATTTAAATATTGTTTTTTTTAAATTAAAAAATTTTTTTTAAAATTATTTTCGATAATTACAATTTTTTTGGTTTTTTCTTAATAATTATTACTTTTTAAAGAAAAAGAATAATAGAAATTAAAATAAAAAAATTGTTTTGAAAATAAAAAAAAAATTCTGTTATTTTTGTTTAAAAAACAAATTTTTCAAAAACTGAAAAATTTTTGTCTAAAATTCATTGTCTGACGTTTCAAACATTTTTTTTTCTCACAATCGTTTATCCGATTGTAAAATAGATAATTGCTTATGGACCGTGTGGTTACGTAGACGAAAACATGAAAATTATTAAGTATTACCCTTGAAATTCACGGTCAGGAAAGTCCCGCGAATAATAATCTATTGACTTTTATTCATTTTCTTTATAATTGATATAAATTTGTAAACTATAAAACTTTCCAAGTAATTGACTCGATTTAATGCCATTTAAAATCTTCCGCAAAAAAAAAAAGAAAAGAAAAGAGTCTGATAAGCAAATAAATTATTTATCGGAGTGTTAATTAGTTAATGTAATAGTTAATGAACTAATTATGTTAATAATTTACAATAATTTTAAACAAATTAATCACAGTTAATGACTCAATAATTATTAATTATAATAATAATTTTTTTTTTTTTTTTGCTTAGGAACTTTTGGAAAATCTGCCTAATTATTTTAAACAAATAATTTAATTTCAAATGCATTAATTAATTAGATAATTAATCATTAATCGATTAAATATTTAATGAATTAAAAAATTAAAGAACTCGATTTGTTACTTTAATGAGTTATGTAAATCACTAATTATCTAATTGAATACCTGATTATATAATTAATTGTCTAGATAATTAATTATTATCTAATTATTTACCTACTTAGTTAATTAATTAATATCTAAATAATTACCTAGTTATATGATTAGTGAGGTATGTAGTAAGTTAATTAGATTAATTAGCTTAATTAAATAATTAATTTATTAAGTATCTAATTAATCAGCTAAATAAATAATTACTTAACTCAATAATAAGCTAATTAATTATAGAAATTGGATAATTAATATCTTTATTATTTACTAAATTATATAAATAATTATTTAATTTTATAATTAATTACCTCATTAGTTTAATATTATTTATCGTATTAAAAGTAAATTAATTAATTTTGTATTTGTATTTAATTTTTGTTTTCTTAAACAATAATTATAAAAACATTTTTTGTTTCTTTTTTTTTCTTTAAAGAAAATAATATTATGTTAAACACGACTTATTTTCCAGGAATTATTATATGAAAAATAATTATAACTATTAGAATAGAATTTCATTGGAAAAATAATTTTTGTAAATATTAACAAAGAGAAAAAGAAAAAAAAAAGTTTTTCGGTTTTATGAACTGTGGAAAATTGTTTAAAGCCCTTGAAATATAATTTTCTAGATTTCTCTAGGAAATTGATAATTGGGTCACTATTACAGGGACTAAATGTATAATTATACCATTTACTTAAAATCAAAATACCAACTGTTATAATTAATATTAATTATAGAAAAAAATGTAATAATTGTAATTTTTTTAATCTAACGTGTAATTTGTTTTTCATTTTTGTATTTAATAACCGGAACAAAAGTTACATATTATTAATTTTGAGATTTTTTTTTATAAATAAATTTTTGTTAGTTTATTACTTCAAATAAAATTAATTTGTTAGATAAATAAACAAATAAACGAAGAAAATAATCAAATAAAATAAACAAATAAATAAATAAATAATAGAAAGAAAATAAAATAAACGAATTTTAATAAATTAACAAAAACATAAATAAACAAAATATTATAATTAAACAAAATGTAAACAAATAAATTGACATCCGAAAATTAAGTAAATAAATATGAATTAAACAATTTAATAAAATAAATAAATAAACTAAAATTAAACGAACAAATAATGAAAAAATAAACAAGTGAAGTAATAAATTAACAATAATACAAATTGTCTGAAAATAAATAAATTAGTAAACAAATAAATTTAATAGTAAAAATACAAATAAACAAAAAGTAAATTAATTACTAAGAAATTAATCATTTAAAAAAGAAATCAATAAACTAAAACTATATAAATAAGTAAATAAACAAATGAAATAAACAAATTAGTTAACAATTAATTAATTAATTAATTAATTAATTTATTTATTTACAAAATAATTTATAAAAATACAAATAAACAATAAATAAAGAAACAAGAATCAAATAATTTTACGAAATAAACAAATTAACTAAAATTTAATAAATAAATAAGTAAATAAACAATTAACAAATATAGAAATGAATAAATTAATAAAATTAAAATACAATTAAACAAATGGCAAATAAATAAGAAAAAAAAATTTAACAAAAGCAAAAACTTAAATTCAATTAAACAAATTAATAAATATTTTAATAATCAATAAACAAATTAATTAATTAACAATAAGAGAAATCGTATAAAAACAAAAAAAAAACAAATAAATAAACAATAAAGTAGACAAATTAATAAATTAATAAAAATAGGTATACAAATAAGCAAAAAATAAATAAACTAATTAATTAATATGAAATTAAACAAAAAATAATAAATAAGTAAAAGTTGCTCAATTAATTAAAAAGAAAATATTAAAAAAAAAAATTACCAAAAAACAATTAATTATTTTTAATAAAAATTTTATTATTATTTAATTGTGAATATTTGTTCATGCAAAATTAATGAATTTTTCCTTATCAGTATCGAAGAAAAGTGCTGAATAAGGTAAAACAATTGTAATTTTTACTTAAAAGAAGAGAAAAAAAATTCTAATTTCCGGAAATTCACATCCTGTTGTATTTCCGTATTTATTTATAATATTTATTTCCATTTTTTTTTATTTACAAACGCGGAATGTAATGAATTTTTAATGCATTCTTCTGAAGACAAAAAAAAAAAGAATTCCGATAATATTAAAGAAAAAAAAAAAATATAAGAAACTTGACAGTGTGAAAAAAAATTGATAAATAAATAATTAATTAAAAAAACCAAAAGCAAAAAAAAATTGATAACAAAATAAAAAGAAAAAGAATTTTCTAAATTTAAAAATAAATTATTAATTAACAAATAAAAGTCGATAAAATGATGATTTAAATAAAGATTCTTTTTTATATGAGAGATTATAAAAAAAAAGTTTTTAATTGTACCTAATTGCAATTATAATAGTAAAAAAGTAAAAAAAAATATGTCACTCTCGTATATCATAAAATAAAAATTGTTTCTCGACATATACAATATTGTATAAAATTTATAATAATGGGTAAATTAATTTATTATTCCAATACGCGTTACTTAGAACTAGGAAATGTTTATGGCCAGTTTTACTTATCTATAATTTCTTTTGTTTTTTCTGATAATAATATAAGAAATAAATGGTTAATACAATAACTGCGTGTATGTATAGTAGTAAATAGTTATAAAAATATTTTTCTACGTACTATTACCGAGTAAATAATGCATTGTCATTATTTTTTAAAAAAGGTTATTTTAATTTGAGATCTGATTTTATGAATCGTCTGGTACTGAAATTATTTGAAATAAATTAAAACTGTACTATAGAGGGACTACAAGAATTATTTTCGAAATTCCTTTGCTTAATGAGAATTTTTATACTTAATTATACAGTAAAATATTTTATATTTATTAAAATTATTATTATTATTCATTTTGTAGTACTTTGAGTAAGTTGAAATATTTCAAGTGGTACTATTTTCATGTACTGAACATTTTTTCAGTAATTTTGTTAATGATTTCGGTAGTTTAGCCACTGATCTTTTTAATTTTTCGGTACTGATATAAAAGTGACTAATTTTTGCCAGTACTACAAGTGTACTACACTTCCTAAACAAATATATTGCTTCTTAGTGTTTAATAGTACCAGATAATTTAAAAAACCAGTTTTTTCATTATTCATGATGGTTTTGAACCTTTGTAGTACCTTGTAGTACTCGGAAAATTAGCGTCAAAAAATTAAAACTTTGTACCCTTTTAGTACCGGCCAATTTCACTTAAAATAGTTTCAGTACCACAAAATTCGAAAAATCAAAGTACTTAAATAATAATAAAGCTTTTCCCCTTTGTAGTACCGTTCAGAGTTATTTAAAATTGTTTCAGTACCACAAAATTCGAAAGATCAGTTACTAAAATAATAATAACTCTTTCTACCCTTGTAGTACCGTCCAAAGTTACGTAAAATCTTTTCAGTACCGAATAATTCGAAATGTGAGGTTTTAAACTATCGTTAGCAACCCTAAAATTTAGATATAGTCTCCATTTACTTTAAATAGTACTATTTAAAAATTTTTAAAACAGAAAATGAAGTACTTTTATACTCGAAAAATATAAGTCTACTTAATTTCGAAAAAGTGTATTAAACGTGCAGATAACAAAATTCGTACCCTTGTAGTACTGGTCAATTTTACTTAAAACTGTTTCAGTACCAGATAATTCGAAAGAATAACTTTTAAACTATCGATTGCAATTTCAAAAACAAGGTAAAGTCTCCATTCACTCAATATAGTACCACTTGAATATTTTTCATACACGAGATAATTAAGAGTAGTTACGAAATTTTTATATATAAATGAAAAAAAATTAGTAAAGAATGTCTCGATATGAAAATCAAGGTCAAAGATGAAGAATAAAGTAGATTGCTGGCGTTCGGCGTTCTCTTGTTTTGCAAACAGTAGTTTCATTTTTTCAGTCATTCGGATAATTTCGTGTAAAAAAAAGAAAACAAATTAAAACAAAAAAGAAATTAAAAAACACAAAAAATAAAAAAAAATAAGAAAAAAAATAAATAAATAAAAAAAAATAAAAAAAAAATAAAAAAATAAATAAAAAAATAAAATAAAAATAAAACAAAAAATGGAGAACGAAAATACTTATCTTTTAAGTAGTTCAACTAATTTTTCAGTATCAGGTGGTTTGGGAAAACGTCATCTTCAAGTTTTCCTGTTATTCCTGGGAATGACTATCTCCTATGGACTACGAGTCAGTATGTCAGTTGCGATTGTTGCCATGACTGATAATTCAACAATCGACTCCAATTTCGAGGTAAGGGAAACAATTTATTTTCAAAAAAAAAATTAAATTAAAAAAATTTTTTCTTTCTAGATTTTCAAATGGGACTCGTCGATAAAGTCGATGGTATTGAGTTCATTTTTTTGGGGTTATACAGTAACGCAAATACCGGCAGGTTATGTGGCGGGAATATGGAGCGCTCAACGATTAGTTTCAATAGGAATATTTTTCTGTGGATTACTAACACTTTTAATTCCAATTGTCAGTTCACATGGCGGTTGGATTGCTGCCTGTATATGCCGAGTAGGAATGGGTCTCTGTCAAGGTTGTCTTTTGCCCTCGACGCAAACTCTACTCGCAAAATGGGTGCCACCCAATGAGAGAGCACGATTAGGTGAGTAGAAAATGAGAAAAATAAAATTTTTATTGTAGAAACGGCATGAAAATCATTGCGCGCGCATCAAATTTTACCAACTGCGCCCAACCCTGCTGACAAAAATTTTATTGTAGAAGTACCTTAAAGAATTATTAAAAAAGTCATTTTCTCACCTTGAAAATATATTTGAATTTATATATATATAACAATATTTAATACAAGGCTCGAAGTAAGTCCGTAAATCCTGAAAAAGTCCGTAACTTTGCTTCAAGTCAGTAAAAGTCCGTTTTTTTTTGGAAAAAGGTCCGTAAAGTTCGTAATTTGATTGAGAAGAGACGAAAAGTTCGTAAATTGTACGATATAATTTGGAGAATTTTAGAGAAATTACAAATGATTGCAGAAATTCAATTATTTTTAAAAGTAATAATAAAATTCTTCGCAAAAATTCAATTATGTTCAAAAATTTTTTTAAATTTTCGTCAAAATTTCAATTATCTTTAAAAATATTAAAATTCTTCTTCGAAATTCAATTATTTTCAAAAAATCTAAAAAACATTGTCAACATTTCAATTATCTTTATAAATAAATAGCAAAATTCTTTGACAAAATTTAATTATTTTCAAAAATTTTATTAAAATTCATTAAAAAATTTCAATTATTTTCATAATTAACAATATTTATCACACGAATTCAATTATTTTTTTTAAAGTAACGAAATTCAATTATATTTTCAAAAATTTTAATAAAATCCATTGCAAAATTTGAATTATTTTTAAATTTCTTCGCATTCATTCAACTATTTTCATAATATTAATAAAATTTTTACCGGTATTCAATTATTTTCGTAAATAGTAAAATTCTTTTTAGGAATTCAATTATTTTCAATAGAATTTAAATTTTTAATCGAATTCCTCGAAAAAATTCTTAAAAATTTTATTAAAATTCGTCCAAAAAATTTAATTATTTAGAAATTTGTTGATAAAATTTTTAATGGGAATTGAATTCCAAGAAACATTCAATTATTCAATAAATTATTTTTTTGCATTTTATTTGTATTTAAATAATTGAATTCTGGTAGAATTTTCTCATAAACATTGATTTAAAAATAGATTTCAGTTAAAATATTAGATTTTAATATGTAATTGAATTCTTTCGAAGAATTTCATTAAAATTTTTAAAATAATTGAATTTTATTGAGACATTTTTTTTTTAAATTGTCTTAAAAATAATTGAATTTCTACCAAAAAAGTTTTGTTTTTTATCAAAACTTTTTAAAATGTTTGAATTTCTGATAGAATTCTGTAATTTTTAAAAATAATTGAATTCTTGCGAAGAATTTTATTAAGAATTTTGAAAAATAATTGAATCTCTGCAAAGATTTTTATTATTTTACGAAAATATTTTTAATTCTTTTGCGAAAAATTTTATTAAAATTTCTGAAAGTAATTGAAAATCTGCTAAGAATTTTGTTATTTTTAATTTATGCCAAGAATTTTATTAAAATTTTTAAAAATAAAAATTCAATTCCTGTTAATTTTTTACAAGAATTTAATTATTTTTGAAAATTTTAATAAAATTCTTCGCAAGAATTCAATTATTTTCATAAAAATAATAAAATTCAATGCAGAATTTCAATTATTTTATTTATTTTTAATACAATTTTAATCGAATTTTGTCGAAAAATGTAATTATTCATAAAAATTTTATTAAAATTCGTTGATTGAATTCAATTATTTGAAAATTTGTTGATAACGATTTTTTAATGGGAATTGGATTTTAAGAAACGTTCAATTCTTCAATAAATTATTTATTTGTATTTTTATATTTAATTTTGTATTTAAATAATTGAATTCTAGTAGAATTTTCTAATAAAAATTGATTTTCATTTCATAAAAATGAATTTCAGTTAAAATTTTAGATAATAATTGAATATTAAAAGCAATATAGCGTGAATTTGAAAAAATAATTGAATTTTGTAATTAATTTTTTTTAAAAAGTTTAATTGCAGATTTTTTTTTGAAATTATTTAAAGTTTATATTTTCTAATATTTATTTAATTGAAGAATTTACGAATAATTGAATGTTCGTAAAAATTGAATATTGTAAAGAAATGAATTTGAAAATTGTCAAAGAACTTTTTCGAAAATTTAAAAAAAATAATCGAAGAATTTTAGTTTTAAATTCTTAAAAATAATAATTGAATTGATAATGATTTTAATTATTATAAATTATTTTTATTAATTTTTATTAATAAGTATTATTAATTATTATAAAACATGAAGAAATGGATGACTTTCGAGTCGAAAACTCGGAGTTATCGATTTCTTCATGTTTTATAGAATTATGAAAAATTGAATTTCTAGTTTTAAGTAAAATGTTCTCTTATTTGATTCGGCCTGATTCTATTTTTGTCAGTTGGTCCGTAAATGGTCCGTAATTTTTAATTTTTGGTCCGTAAAGTCTATATTTTTAAATACTTTCACTGCTTCGAGCCCTGTTAATATGAGAATTCATAATTATTTTTAAAAGTAATAAATTTTTTCTTGGAAATTCAATTATTTTATTTTTAGTCGTATAAAAAGTCATTGAAAACACTTTAAAAATTATCTTTTTCTTTCATTAAATTTATCTTTTCAGGTACCTTTGCCTATGCAGGGGGACAATTTGGTACAGTCGTGACGATGCCAATTTCCGGTTTTTTGGCTGGTTCCTCGATAGGTTGGCCAAGTATTTTCTATATATTTGGTTTAATTGCATTAATATGGTCGATTGCTTTCTATTATATGGGCTTCGACAGTCCAGTTCTGCATCCAAGTATTTCGCAAAGTGAAAAATTGTACATTCAAGGCAGTTTGGGCGAAATGACGGAGAAAACAAAACTCGACGTAAGTGATAAATTCAATAATAGTAGGTTGGGTATTTTTTATATTTAGGTCACGAAAAATGATAATTTCTAAAATTTCAAATTTTTACTATATTTTTATGAAATTTAGCTCAATTATTTTTGGGCTCTTCAAAAATACCCTATATACCTTTTTTTTGGCTCGACCCTTTGGTAAAAAACTACCTTTATCTATAATGTACGAAAAATTCTTAAAATTCAACATTTTTATTTTTTTTTTCATGAAGTCAAAGGGCAAAACGGATTAACAAAAATCTTTTAAAAATTTTATTTACCAATTTTTCATTTTTAGAAATCGGAGACACCATGGAAGCAGATATTTACTTCGATACCAATGTGGGCATTGATCATAGTACACTGTGGACAAAATTGGGGTTATTGGATGCTCCTAACCGAAATGCCAAGTTACATGAAAAATATTTTGAAATTCAACATAGAAGAGGTAATTATATGCAAATTTCGATTATCACCACCTGAATTTTTTATTTATTTATTTATTTATATACAATACATCCCCGAAGGTTCTTGCGGAATAAAAAATTAAAGTAATTATTTTTAACATTGTAATCTACAAAAATATAGTTCTCAATGGAACTAATGAATACAACTTGAAGATAATTTATATATTATAAACTTGACCCTTAACACGATGAAAGGAAAATTTCATTATATTTCATTGTGAAAGAAGGGGTCAATTTGTATACAATATGATTCTATATCTGTAATTGTAATTGTATATTATCAAATTATGTTTGAAGAGTGATAATTCAATTTATGTCGTGTTTGAATTTATAGACTTTTGGGTATAAGTAGATAACTATTGGTTCAATAATCCATTGCTTAAGTGCGCAGGTGATAATTATATCATTACGGGAGATATTTTTTTAATTCCCTGTTTATCAAATCTGATATGGAATCAAATAATATAGTTAGTTACGATTCAGAACGTTTTTTATATTATCTTTTATTGGGATTTTTTTGGTGCACCTGAAGGAAGGTTGCCATACTTGATGTAGATGATTAGGAATAATATATGCTAACTTTGGTCTGAAAATTCCGAAGTCGAATGTACTTTTTTGGAAATCAGGAAAAGATAAGAAGTAGAATGCAAGTATCTTTTTCACCACTATCTGAAATCTAATCGTTTCTATAAGTTCATAGACTGAATTACATGAATTTGAGAATTTATGAGAGGTGCTGACAAGATTAGTGAATACAGACACTAGACACGGTGGGAAATTGGGTAATTGACGACTTGGTGACGTAATTGATAATATTGTTGAGAAAACACGAGTGATGGTTATTTTGATATCTGTTTGTTATCATGATTCTCTTTTTGATTGGTATAATAAAGAGAAAACTGTGATCGTATAGAGGACCACTTCTTAAAGATGAAAATTTTAGACTTGTACGGAGCACCCACTTCTTAATTTGAGACTTATAATACTGACGACTACATCTTATGACTACATTTTCTTAACTAACTTGTTGTTGATGGTTTAGCTCTTTTTATACTAGAAACTAGAGATTTGTCCACTAAGCCATGTATTTTTGAAAACTGTCCACTAAGTCATGTATTTTTGAAAATCGTCCACAAAGCCATCTTCCTTTCTAAAATCCATTGCTGTAAGAACACTTGTATTGATTTTTTTGTTATTTATAAATTATAATTTGTTCACAACTCTCACCCTAGCAAAAAAGTATTTGTAGCACTACTCCTAAGAAATAAAATCCTTCGTCTCTTCCTCAGAGTGGCGTAACGTCTGCACTTCCATACTTGGCCATGTGGCTCCTAAGCTTCCCAGCGAGTTGGCTCTCGGATTTTGCATTAAAGAAAGGAGCGAGTATTGGAACGACACGAAAAGTCTCCAATACAATTGCCCATTGGGGTCCTGGCTTAGCACTATTGGGCCTATGCTTTGTACCAACTGATCTCAATAATAAAACAATACCTGTACTGATTCTCGTCATATCAGTGGGACTCAATGCCGGTTCACTATGCGGCTTTCAAATAAATCACATTGATCTCAGTCCAAATTATGCCGGAACAATGATGTCAATTACAAATTGCATTGCATCTGTAATTGCCATTATTGCACCGATAATCGTTGGGGAGATTGTTCGCGATGAGGTAAGTCTTTCATAGTTAAATCTCTAAAATAATCTAATAAACCAGTTATCATACACGACATATATAGTTTTTATTATATGAATAGAATATTTTGGTGCAAGTTGGATTTTGTTAGGGTACTACAATTATTAACTATTTCTAAATTTTTTAATTTCAGACTGATCAACATTCATGGCACATTGTATTTTACATATCGACATTTATCTACTTTGCGGGCAATTTAATATTCATTATTTTTGGAAGAGCGGAAATTCAATGGTGGAACGATCCAATTGAGGTGAAAGCAAGAAAGGAAATAAAAAGACAAAATAATATGGAGATGAATGAAAAAAAAATTGAGAAATAATCGCCACCCTTCTCCCTATCCTCTCGATTTTTGAAAATTTGAATTTGAATTGCAATTGAGATTCTGGAAAGTACAACAGACGTAGTCTTCTGCGCAGTTGGGAACTTTAAAGAAGGACACAATGTTGGTTCTGCTTTTCAGGTCCTCAGTTTGTAAAAAAAATTTCTTTAGTTATATTTTGATGAAAATTGCATTGTATCAATGCCGGAATATTTATTCTCTCTGTACATATTTACCAAATTGTTATTAAATTCTGTTGTTTTTTAAGAATTCTTGTGTCTAAATTTTTATGGCAATAGTAATTATTATTATTATTATTATTATTATTATTATTATTATTATTATTATTATTATTATTATTATTATTATTATTATTATTATAATTCATGATAGACTTGGAATTTATTTAGTCAACAAGTGGACTCGATGTGTTAATGGCGGAGCAGAGGATTAACTTTCGGTACGTAATTCCTAGACTAGGTCAATTTGCACTTGGGCGGTATGTGAGAGATTTATTTTTTGAAAATAAAATATAAAAAAATATTAAGTTTTAAAAAATATACTATAAAAATTATAAATTATAATACTAAATTATAATACTATAAAATTATACCTTCCGGTACGTAACTCCTAGACTAGGTCTATTTGCACCTGGGCGGTATGTGAGAGAACTATTTACTAGAAACAAAATTTTAAAATAGATATTATTAAGTTTGAACAACACAAAAATATAAAGTTTTTGTTAATTTCTGTTATATTTCATATTTATATTTATTTATACATTATTTTTTTAAATTTATAATTATAATTTATCATTCTTTTATAAAGAATAAGTGTTAAAAATATGAATAATTATTTAATAATCTCCACCCTTTGGCAAAAAATTTAAGATTATCAAAAATTCGAAAAACCGAATTTCTAAAAATTCAACATTTTTTTTTCTGTTTCATGGCATTTAGCTTTATTATTTTTGGGCTTCTCAAAAATACTTTACTTATTTAATAGTCTCCACTCTTTGGTAAAAAATAAAAAATGATCAAAAATTCGAAAAACCGAATTTCTAAAAATTCAACATTTTTTTTCTGTCTTATGGCATTTAGCTTCATTATTTTTTTTTAAATTATTAAAAATTGTCAAAAATTCGTAAAACCGAATTTACTTAAAAATATTGAAAACTGAATAAAATGTTTTTATTGGTATACATTTTTTACTAACTTAAAAATTTTTTTAGATTTCTATTTTACTTTTTGTTAATTATTTTTTTAAATAAATATTTTAAAATGTTTTATTTAATAGTTTAATAATTTATTTTAAATAAATAAGTTTTATATAAATAAATATTGAAAAAAAATATAGAAAATATTGAAAGCTGAAAAAATTGTTTGGCTAAAAGTTTAAATAAATATTTTCTATTTGCTAAAAAAAATTCCTAATTAATTTTTTTTTTTTGATAATAAATCTTTAAATAAATTTTCACCTCTTGTAAGTAATATTGTGTGATTTTAGGTATGATTTTAAGGGGTAGATTCCGCTTTGGTACGTAATCCCTAAACTGGGTCTTTTTGCACCTCGTCGCTATGTGAAGGAACAAGTGTGTAAAGTTACAAAAAAAATTTTTTAAAAAACTACAAATTTAATTAGAAATAAAATTCAATAATTTTTTTTGCACATTCAGTGTTTAAGTTTCTCATTTTAAATTCCAAAAGTGAAAATTAAAAATTGATTCAAAATCTATGGGAATAAATTCTAAAACACATAAGGGTGTATAACAAAAAATATTTTTTTTCGTCTATTATTTTTGTTTACTTTGATTTTTTTTCTTTTTTTCGTGAAAATAATTTTATTCAGGTATGATGCGTAAGTCTGGAGTATTACAGGGTCATATCACGTTTTACAAGGCTCATAAGAGGGGATCCACGCATTTGAAGTCTTTGACATAAAACTGTGGTCACTTGTTCGATGTCTCGCAGTCGTTAAGAGGCATTATTTTCTTTAATAGAATTATTATTTTTTTTTTTCTTATAAAATTGATTGTTGACGAGAAAAAAAAGTTTTTTCATTTCTCGTCAAAAATGACGACGACACAATCGAGAAGAGTTTCGTCCAGGCGAATTTCCATTTCGGAAAAAATGAAAACACCATTACACAAACCAAAAGGTAATTTTTACTAAAAAATTTGTATTTCTAATTTTTTTCGTTAAAAAAAAAATAAAATTTTTTTAAAATAATTTTGTATTTTAATTTTTTTGTTGAAATTTTTTTATTAAAAATTTTTTTTTTAAACTTTTATACTTATATCATTGTATTTAAATTTTATGCCTTCTTAATTTAATTTCAAAAAACAATTGTTGATTAAATAAAAAATGTTTTTTTAAAATTTTATATACAAAATATTTTAATTAAAAAAATATTTTTTTGTTTTCCAATTGAAAAAAATGTATTTTTATTTTTAGTCTAAATTTTTTGCTTTCTTTTTTCAAAATAAAAATTGTATATTAAATAAATATTTTCAAAAAATTTGAATTTCTAGAAATATTTTAAACAATCAATTGTTTAAAATATTTTAAAAACAATTTTTGTTATTTTATTTAAAATATTGAAAATAAAATTTAGTTTTTTAATTTATTTTTCCTCTTATTTTCGTGTAAAAAAGCACGTGCGATGATTTATTAATTGGGTGAGAAATTGTTTTTTTATCAATTAAAAAGACGTCAGTGTTCGATAGGCTGCACGTGATTAATTGTAAAATTTTAATTAAAAATATTGCCATTTACAATGCGTACAAATATATATAAATAGATTTTCTTGAAATTTTGTAAATTCGTTTAAAACACGAAATAATCTTATCAAGAAAAAAACGAGAGAAAGAAAAAATTGATGTATCGAACAATAATTCTCAATAATTTTCATAATTTATGCGATAACAATTAAATCTTAATGACGAAAATTTTTCCGATTAATTATCTAATTATTATTACAGTAATTTAATTTATTAATGATTTTTGTTTTATTTTTTAGTTCATTCAATTATTACATTTCTATTTTTTTTATTATTTATTAAATTATTTAATTTACTAGTCATTAAATTAAAAAAAAAATTTCTTTTTTTAAAAATAATATGAAAATAAAAAAAGGAAATTTATTTATTTCTTGTAGACGGAAGTTATTTATTTATTATTTAAATAAATAAAATAAATGTTTTTTGCACGTTTGAATTAAATGAATAAATAAATTTTAAAAATAGTATTGAGAATTATATTAAAAAAAAAAAAAAAAAAAAAAACTTTTCTATTAAAAAAATTATGAATAAAATAAAAAAAATTATATAATTAAATATAAATGAAAAATTGTATTAAAGCAATTATGTATTTAGTTAAAAAAATATTTCATTGTAAAATATTTTTTTTCTATATTTTGATAATAAAAATATTTTAATAAAATAAATTTGTTTATTTAAAAAGGAAAGTAATTAATGTTAATTATAGAGGAGAGATTAGGGGGAAAATAAAAAATCAATGTCAATTTAAAAGTGGAATTGAAATTTGTCAGATTAAAAAGTCATTGTGTGTCTGTAAAACTTCTGGTCTTTGATGTTTGTGAAATCTTATCGATTGTGAGACATTCCAATCACTGTTTCTCACCTGAAAACAAATGATTGTTCTCTACGCCTTTTCATTTTCACTTATACTCTACTTTAATTAAAAATACTTACTTTCTATAAAAAGAAAAAATTAATTAAAAAAAAAAAAAATTAGATAATACAAAACTTTAATAAATAAAAATAGAAAAATAAAATAAAAATATTAGTAGAATTTAAATAAATTATAAAATTTGAAAACTAAAATTAAGAAATTCGAAAAATAAAATAAAAATGATTAAAGTCTATAAAATAAAATAATAAGTTTAAAAAGAAGTTAAAATAATTGAAAATAAAGAATTTTTTTTTAAAATGAAAAATAAAATTTTTCAAATTACAGAATAAAATTTGTGAAAAAAAATTGAAAGAAGATTCGAAAAAAATTACAAATTAGTATTTTGAAAAATTAAATTGCAAAAAAAAAATTATGAAATAGAATTTAAAAAATAAAACTAAAAATAAAATTTAAATGTTATTTACAAAAAAGTTTAATAATATAATATTTTTTCGAATTTTTTCAAAATTTATTTAAAAATTTTTCTACTAATCTAATTTTTTCAAAATTGCACACACATTTATTCTTATCTTTGCTTTTTTTAAATTTTACAAATAGAAAAAAATTTTTTAAATGAATATTTTAAAAAATGTTTTTATTTTTAAAATCAAGAAAAACGTGGTTTATGTTAATTTGTTTGGTTTTGCTTTTAAGTGCAATAAAAACTGCAAACAATTTATCAACTATTACGAGAGAAATATTGTAAATAGGCAATAAAAAAAAAAAAAAAATTTCTGTTCTCAGCTCTGTTTGGTTGTAGACACATTCAGGTCCTCTTAATGACTGGAGGATACTTTTGTTGTTATGTGATAAGGGTCTCAATGTCTGTTGCCATTGAAGCAATGACAGACAAAAAATCAAATCCAGACTTTGAGGTATTGACTCTAATTTTTTTTTTTAGAAATTTCAAAAACTTATTTTATTTTTTTAAAAATTTTATTTACCTAAATAAAAAAATACAATAATTTTTTAAATTTTATTTAAATCAAAAAATACAATTTTTTAAATTTTCATTAATAAAATAAATATTCTTATATTATTTTCATAAATAAACATTTTTTAAATAAATTATATAATTTTAAACTATAATTAAATATAAATAATTTTATTTCAAGATTTTTTAAATACATGGCCTTTAAATGGTTTGAATATTGGTTAATTATTATTATAAAAAACATGCTTCAACTCTTTCTTTGAATTCTCATCAGGTTCTAAAGAGTCGAAATTTTTATTTTAAAATTGAAATTTCAAATAAATTTTTTTTTTTTTTTTTTTTTTATTTTAAATTTGGTTTTTTAATTCAACAAAATTTTTTTCTGTTAGTTTTGAAAATTTGTTTCCAGGCGGTATGTGAGATAATTTTGAAAATAATTTAAGTAATATTAATAATAATATTAAAAAAAAAAACTAGTACCAATTTTTTTCTGTTGGGTTAAAAATTTTAAAAAATACATTTTCATTTTTTCTTTTTTTAATTTAATTTTATCGCAGTCAGTTCATTATTAACAAAATTGCAAAAAGATTTCTTTTGCAAAATTAAAAATTTTAATTTGCGATTTTTTTATACCTGTAATTTATTTTACTTATTTATTTCTTTTTATTTATTTATTTATATCTTAGTTTGGACCGACAAAAATTTCCTTAACAAAATTTATTTTTTTAAAAATATATTTTACTTTAATTTAATTATAATTAATTTTAATTTATAACTTATTTTAATGTAATTATAATTTATTTGAAATATAATTACACATTTTAATTTTATTTTAAGTTACAAGTTTTTTAAATTTTATTGTAAGTTATTTTTATAATTATAGTTATAATTTTTTAAATTTAATTCCAAATTGTGAAAGTTTAATAATATAATGTTTTAATTTTATAATTATTAATATAATTTTTTAATTTTAAAATTATTAACATAATTTTATTAATATAATTGAAAAAAAAAAAAAAAAAAAAAAAAATTAAAAAAAATTAATTTCAAAAAAACGCTTGATGGCCGATGGCCGTCAAGTTTAATAATATAATTTTTTAATTTTATAATTATTAATATAATTTTTTAATTTTAAAATTATTAACATAATTTTATTAATATAATTAAAAAAAAAAAAAAAAAAAATTAAAAAAAATTAATTTCAAAAAAACGCTTGAACGCCGATGGCTTTATTTATTTTTAATTTAATTATAATTGATTTTAAATATAAAATATGATTAATTAATTAATTATTTTTTGTTTCAAAGACTTTCGAGTGGAGTGAGGACAATAAAAATGTGGTGTTGAGCTCATTTTTTTGGGGTTATATTTGGACTCAAATTCCGGGTGGCCTTATAGCACAAAGATGGGGTGCGAAGAGAATTTACGGTACGTGCATGGGAGTCTGCGCGCTGGTGACATTATTGGTGCCATTTGCCGCTTTTCACGGTGGATGGCAGGCCGTTTGTGCATGTCGGGTAATTTCTGGTTTTTGCCAGGGTGTTGTACCCCCCATTCTTCACAATCTTTGTGCCAAATGGGTGCCATTTCCAGAGCGAGGAACGCTGAGTAAGAAAACAAAAATTTTTTTTCACTAAAAAAATTTTTAATTTATCAAAAAATTTAAAAATATGAAAAAAAAATTTTTATGTAAATCAAATGTTTAAAGATATTTAAAATACTTAAAAATATTTAGAAACATTTTAAAGAGATATTTAAAAATATTTAAAACTATTTAAAAAATATTTAAAAATTTTTTTTTTTTTTTTTTTTTTTTTAAATTATTTAATTTTAAAATATTTAAAATTGATTTTCGATTTTTTCAAAAAAAACTTAAAATTAAATTACAATTTTTTTTAAACCGCTGTAAAAAAATGTAATTTTAATTTCAATTAATTAATTAATTAATTTTAATAAAAAAAAAGTAAAATAAAAAAATTTCTTCTATTTCTTATATGAATAGCGACGTTTGTTTATGCGGGTGGATGGTTTGGGAACGTGTTTGCCCTGCAAAGTTCTGGCGTCCTTGCTGATTCATTGATGGGATGGCCCAGTGTTTTTTACTTTTGGGGAATCATCACATTAATTTGGTCAATTTTGTGGCTATGCCTCGGCAAGGATTCGCCTGCCGAACATCCTTCATTGCCTCTTGACGAACGGGAGTACATCGAGGTCAGTCTCGGTGTCACCGAGACAACTGAGGTAATAATTTTTTTACCTAAACTTTCTTCTTTCTCTAAAACAGTTTTTATTTCACATTTTTTTTTTTCATTTTTCAATTCTCTTTTTACTTTTATTTATTTTTTTTCATTTTGGCTTAAAAGAAAAAATTTACATTCACGAAGATTCGAACCCCGGTCCTTATAATTACAAAGCAAGTGGGAAAACCCCTAAGCCATTCCACATAGTTTCATTTTTTTTTCTTTTACTAAAAAACATTGTTTACTTCAACTTTTTTACTTTCTGAAAATTTTCTAATAATTATCGTTCATTGGCATTTTTTTAAAGTTTATTTCACCAAAAAAAAACATGTTTTTGGATTCGTAATTTTTTTTTTTTTTTTTTTCAGTTTCTATTCTACTTTTTTTTTTCTTTCTTTCTTTATTTTTTTTTTTTGCAAATTCAATCGCGTGAGAGATCCAATTACAATGTAAATGTTTAAAGCGTTAATGAAGTATTTTTATCTAATTGTTATCGTGATTTCCTGGCCTTCGTGTGTAGATCAGAAAAAAAAATTAAATATATATCAATGATTCCAATTAAATTGTACAACTATTAATTTATTGTTAAAGGCGTGTAAATTGTTTTTTTTTTGCTTGCAGTTTCACTTTTTTCTCCCATAACTTAAAAATAAAATATTAATGAATACATTATTTATTTATTTAGTAAATAATACGTATTTATTATTTTTATTATTAGTAATAATGAAAAAGAAAAGTATTATAATTAAAATTATATAAATTTGGAAGAAATAAGGAAATTTACATTAAAAAAAAAGAAAAAGGAAAAAATATTATTTTTCAGTTATAATAATATATGAAGTGTAAATACTCCTTTATTTTAAGCCATACATACATAATAAAGAAAAGATTTTTTGTTCTTGTGGTCTATTGACTTTTTTTTAAATTTTTTTTTTGTTAAAAATAATTTATAATTTAATATAAATAGATATTAAAAATTATATATATAATTGACAATAATTATTGTTTTTAGCCAATTCCAACACCGTGGAAAAAAATATTTCTCTCCGGACCAGTTTGGGCGATTGTTATTACACAATCTTGTCAAGTTTGGGGCTTCTGGATGCTTTTAACGAAAATACCAAATTACCTGAGTTCAGTTTTCAAATTCAATATTAAAGAAGTAAGTAAAAATTGTTTTTCTTCTTTTCGGTAAATTTTACAATATGACAATTTTCTAAATTGAAAAATTTTTTTCTATTATCATTTCTTTAAATGATAATAAAAATAATAATTATTAAAATCTTTGTATTCTTAATTAAGAACAATTATTTATTTATATTTATTTATATATATAATATAATTATCTATATTAATAGAATGTTATTTATTATTTTATAATTAATTTGAATTTTTTTTTTTTTTTTTTTTTTTTTTTTTTTAATTTGAAAAAGTTTTTTAATTTTTTTTTTATTAATTATAATTATTAATATATATTATTATTAAAAAACATTATCACAATCGAAGGAGAAGGATTTATAATTAAAAAACAACTTATAATTTATTGCACATTTCGTTTATTAATAATTATTGATAAATTTTCTTATGAATTTGAAATTGTATCTGGGCGTTACGTGAGAGAATTTAATATTATTATTATTAATTAAAATTATTATGAAATTGTACCATATTCAAAAGGGGAAGGAAATTATTATTTATTTTACTTTTTGTTAATTAATAATTATTTAAATTTTTTTTTTTTTTTTTTTTTTAATTTATTATTATGGTAAATAAATAAATAAATAAATTTGTATCTTGGCCGTATGTGAAAAAATCAATTTTTTTATTATTAACTATAGTTATTAATAAATATTTTTAATATTATTATTATGATTATAAATGGTATCACAGTCGAAGGAGAAAGAAAAGTAGCAAAAAGTCGTTTTGAGTCATTCCAACGATTAAGGAAATTTAATTTTCTTCGAAAAAGGGAGATTTTTCAAGTTAAATCTATTTTGAGCCTTGAAAAAAAAATCGATCCTTGACTGTCCATCGAGAATTACAAACGATTGAATTTTTAAGATAGATTCGAGTCGCGTAGAACCTTGCCTTGAATGATATTTGTCCAGCTATATATAATGAATATTAATTTTATTATCAGAATCAGAAAACTTTGTCGAATATTAAATTGAAATGCGGAATTATTAGTTTTTTTTATTTTTTTTGCAATGTTATTGTTTATATTGTTAATTTCTTTTTTTCAACGTTATTTTTTTTTTTTTTTTTTTTTTTTTTTTTTTTTTTTTTTTTTTTTTTTTTTTTTTAATAATGTTATGTATGCAATGATGATGAAAGTAAAAATAATTATTCCCATTATTTATATTAATATTATTATTTATTATTTTAATTTATCAATTTTTATTCAAATAATTCACGTGAAATTCCTCGATATCTTTTAATTAGGTTTTTTCACACACTATTTAACATTTTTGTAATTGCAAATATTTTTTTATCTTATCATTATGAAAACTAATTGGTTTACTCTTAATATATATATTTTTATCAGAATTCGATTTATAAATGCAAAATAAAAATATTTTTCCAAAAAAATTTTGCAGCTAAAAAAAATATTTAAGAATTTCTATTCTTTTATTATCTCTAATATTGATCATAACAAAAAAGAATTTTTTGTTATTTTTATTTTATTATTTATTTTATTAAAAATTTTAATAAATATCCTTTCTACGAGAACTTTAATACAATATTTACAAATTTAAAAATAAAAATTTCATTTAAAAAAAAAGAAAAACAAATTTTATATTCTATTTGTTATTACAATGAAATTTTTGTCAAATTTCATTGTAAAATATAATTTTCTTTTTCTTAAAGAGACATTAGAATTTCAAAACTTTATCTCTAAATGTCCAAAAATAAATAATCTACATTTCAAAAAAGTTGATAATTATAATTAACGAAAAATTTGAATTTTTTATGAAACATTATTATTAATTATAATAATATTAGGTAATAATAATAAGAATAACGAAATAAAAAGAGAGTAAAAAATAATACGAAATAATTCAAATTTTAAAAAGAAAAATAAAAAAAAAATAATAAAAATATAATAATAATAATAATAATAATAAAACATAAACAAAAAAAAATAAAGAAAAAATTAAAAAAAGAACTAAATGAAATACGAAGAAATAGAAAAAAAATGTTAAAAAAAACAAAAATAATGAGAATGATAAATAAAAGTTTTTTAAAAAAACATTAAAACAAGAGAAAAGCAAAAAAAAAAAAAAATTGAGAAAGAAATGTGAAAATATGCGAAGAAAATACATTTACAACGCGATAGAAGAAAAAAAATTGTTGGAATGAGGATATGAAAGGAATGTGAAAACAAAAGAATTGCACTATCATCAAAGATGACAATTTAAAATTTATTAATCGGTCACCGATTCAAAGGATTTTTTTATTCTAATTTCTTATCATAATATCATAATAATTGTTCTTGTTAAATTTTAATCATTATCATCATTGATATATTTCTTATATTATCATAAAAAGAAAGCAATTAAAAAATTTTGAAAATTACAATATTAAAATTTTGTTCTAAACAAATTGTAATATAATTATTTTTTAATTATCACTTTTTTTTCCTAAATTTTTTAATAATTTTTCTTTGTAAATATTTTTTTCAATTTTAAAATTAATATATTGAAAATTATTGAATTCTTTTTGCAAAGAATTTCATCAAAAAATTTAAGAATAATTGAATTTCTCCGAAGAATTTTATTATTTATGAAAATAATATTAAATTCTTGACAAGAATTTTATTAAAATTTTTGAACATCTTAATTAAATTCTTTTGAAGAATTTCTTTCAATTTTTTTTAAATAATGGAGTTTCTTTAATAATTTTAATTAACAATTTTGAAAATAATTGAATTTTATGAAAAATTTCTTTTAAGTTTTTTAAAAAAACGTGTTTGTTAATAATATTAAAATTAAACATTTAATTACATAATGAATTTTATTAAAATTTTAGAAAATAATTGAATTCTGTTGAATTATTTTATAACCAGTTAGAGAAAAAATTGAATTCTTTCGTAAAATTTTTTTGAAAATAATTGACTTTTTGGAAAGGAATTTATTATTTATATATATAATTGAATTGATTCAAAGGATTTATTAAAATTCTAGAGAATAGTTGAATTTTCTCGAAAAATATTATTAAAAATTAAAAGGAAATTGAATTTTTGCAAAAAAATTTTACTATTTATAAATATAATTGAATTTTCTAGATGATTTTATTAACATTTTAGAAAATAATTGAATTCTATTCAAATTTTTTATAAAGACAAGAAAAAATTAAATTCTTTCATAAAATTGTTTTCAAAGTAAATTGAAGTTTTCTAACGAATTTAAAAAATTTGAATTCTTTCGTGAAATTTTATTAAAATTTTAGAAAATAATTGAATTTTCTGGAAAAATATTATTATTAAAAATTAAAAGAAAATTTAATTTTTGCAAAAAACTTTACTATTTATAAATATAATTGAATTTTTTGCAAGATTTTATTAAAATTTTAGAAAATAATTGAATTTTATTGAAATTCTTATTAAAATTTTAGAAAATAATTGAATTTTATTTAAATTTTTTATAAAGACAAGAAAAAATTCAATTCTTTCATGAAATTTTTTTGAAAGTAATTGAATTTTTGTAGCAATTTTAGAAAAATTGAATTTTTTCGTGAAATTTTATTAAAATAATTTTAGAAAATAATTGAATTTTATTGAAATTTTTTATAAAGACAAGAAAAAATTCAATTCTTTCATGAAATTTTTTTGAAAATAATTGAATTTTTGTAACGAATTTAAAAAAATTTGAATTTTTTTGTGAAATTTTATTAAAATAATTTTAGAAAATAATTTAATTTTTTCAAAAAATATTATTAAAAATAAAAATAAAATTGAATTTTTGCAAAGAAATTTACTATTTACAAATATAATTGAATTATCTCAATGTTTTTTTTTAAATTTTGGAAAATAATTGATTTTTATTGAAATTTTTTATAAAAATAAGAAAAAATTAAATTCTTTCATGACATTTTTTTGAAAATAATTGAATTTTGGCAATTAAATTTACTATTTATAATGATATAATTGAATTGTTTCGAAGGACTTATTAAAATTTTAGAAAGTAATTGAATTCTTTTATGACATTTTTTTTTTTTTGAAAGTAAATTGAATTTTTGTAACGAATTTAAAAAAATTGAATTGCTTCATGAAAATTTTTTTGAAAATAATTGAATTTTTGCAAAAAAATGTTACTATTTTTAAAAATAATTGAATCCTTACGAAGAATGTTATTATTCTCGAAAATAATTGAATACTTGCAAAGAATTTTATTAAAATTTTTTTGAAATTAATAAACAAGAATAATTAATAAATAATTGAATTTTTTTTTGTAAAGTTTGAATCTGAAATTATTCAAAAATTCATATTGGAAAATAAAAATTGTCTAATTTTTTATAATAATATAAATGGAATAGCACGTTTCGCGCATAATATTTGCTAGTAAATGTAAATAAAATAAATAAAATAAATAATTTCTTATTTATTTATAGACCTTAATATTTATAAAAAAAACACTCGTTTTTTTTAACAAAAGGGCCGAAAAGGCCACAAATCTAAAATAAAGGATTTTGTATAAAATAAATAATAATAATAATAATAAATAAAATAAATAATTTTTGTTTCTTTCAGAATGGACTAATATCATCGATTCCATATCTCACAGCTTGGATTCTCAGTTTTCCGATTAGTTACTATTCGGATATGTCAATTAGAAAGAATTTCCTTAGTGTTCGTGCATCGAGATTCCTTTGTAATTCAATTGGTGAAATTCTACCGGCAATTGCTTTGGTTGCACTTGGCTATGTGAGTCCTGATAATCCAGTTCTTGCCATTAGCATTCTGGTTATTGCCGTTGCAACAAATATGTCAATTTATTGTGGTCATCATGTGAATCACATGGATTTGAGTCCAAATTTTGCTGGTTCACTAATGGGTTGCACCAATGCTGTTGCTAATGTTTGCAGTATTCTTGCTCCACTTATTGCTGGATTGATTGTACAGGAAAAGGTAATATGCTTTTTTTGTCTTACCTTTTTTCTTTTTTTTTCTTTTATTAAATTAATTAATTTTAATTTTTTTAAATTTAAAAAAAATTTTTTTTTTTTATTTATTTCTTCTCTTTTTTCTCTCCTCTGTTCTATGGTCCCTTTCACAGTAATAAACTTTTGCTTTAGTTTTCCCTACTTCATCTCCTTCTCGTTTTTAGTTCTTATTTCTTCTTTCTTCACCTTCTAATTTTTTACTCTTTCCTTCTATTTCTTCAATCTCTTCTTTATGGTTTTTTGATACTCTCTTCTTCCACTAACTTTTTCTTCCTTTCTCATTAATTTTCCATTTTGCTTTCTTTACTCCATCTTTTTCACTAAAAACCTGTTTCTCGCTTCTTTCTTCACTGATTTTCTTACCCCTTTCTTCTCTTTCTTCTACTGTATTCTATGGTTCAGAGTTGCCACAAAAATTTAATATTTTCCCTAATTTCCACACAAAATTTTGACTTTTTCCCTGACCCTAAAGAATATTTTGATTCATTCTAAAATTTATTAGATACTCAAAAAAAAGTTCTATTACATTAATTTACAAATTTCTTCAAAAGTAAAATTATTCGAAACCATCAACAACTTCTTTTTTAAATAAATATTCAATTATTATTTTTCCATGGGAATTAAGATTTTCAAAAATTTAAATTCAAACCTTTTTGAAATTCAACAACTTCTAAGAATATTAATACAAAACATGAAGAAAGTGATCACTCCGAGTCTTCGACTCGGAGTGATCACTTTCTTCATGTTTTATAATAATTAATTATGACCGAGTGAGAAAATCATTATTATTTTTTTTTATTTTTTTATATTATATAAGAATATTGTCACTGTAACTTCTTAAAAATTATTTTCATCATTTCAATTCAATTATTATTTTCTAGAATTTTTAACTAAAATTCTTTTCTAAATCAATTATTTTTAATAATTTTTGAAAAAGTTCTTCTTCGAGAATTGTTAAATTCATTTGGTTACAATTCAATTTTACGTAAAATTTCAATTATTCGAAAATTTTTCAATTAAATATACATTAGAAAATAAAAAATTGAAATAATTTTTTTAAATTTCTATGAAGCTTTTTTGAATAAATTTAGTTCCATAGAATTTTTAATTAAGAGTATAAAAAATTCAGATTTTCAAAGATTTTAATTTGAAACCATTCACGAAAAATTCAATTATTTCTAAAAATTTCAATTATTAGTAACTTCTCCAGAAATTCAATTATTTTCTGAAACTTTAACTGAAATTAATTTTTTAATCAATTATTATTAGAAAATTCTACGAGAATTCAATTATTTAAATATTAAGAAACATATAGATAATTTATTGAATAATTGAATTAAAATTGAATTCTTATACATAATTTTATTAACAAATTTTCGAATAATTGAATTCTTTCGACGAATTTTAATCAAATCTCTAAGAATAATTATATTTTTCGAGAAATTCGATTAAAATTGTATTAAAAATAATTGAAATTTTGCAATGAGTTTTATTATTTATAAAAATAATTGAAGTATTGCGAAGAATTTTATAAAAATATTTTAAACAATTGATTTTTTTCGAAAAAATTTATGCAAATTCTATTTTTAATAATTGAATTCCAGTGAAATTTCATTATTTTAGAAAATAATTGAAAATTAGTTTAAAATTTTGTCAAAATTGTTTTTAAATATTTCAAGTCTTTTGGAAATTTTTATTAAAATTATTGATGTACAAATTATTGAACTAAGAAAAATTTTTGAAAATATAATTTAAATCTTGCCAAGAATTTTATTAAAATTTTTGAAAATAATTGAATTTTATTAATACTTATTTGAAAATAATTGAATTACTGTGTAGAATTTAAAGCCAAATTTTAAAACAATTTATTTTTTCGAAAAAATTTATGCAAATTCTATTTTAAATAATTGAATTCCAGTGAAATTTTTATTATTTTAGAAAATAATTGAATATTCTTGTTGAATTTTGTCAAAATTGTTTTTAAATAATTGAATTCTTTCGTAAATTTCTATTTAAATTATTGAATTAAGGAAATTATTTGAAAATAATTGAAATTTTGCCATGAATTTCAATAGAATTTTTAAAAATAATTGAATTTTACTAAAATTTTTGAAAATAATTGAATTCTTGTCATGGATACTATTATTTTTGAAAATAATTGAATTTTGCAATGAATTTTATTAAAATTCCTGAAAATAATTGAATTTTGCAATGAATTTTATTAAAATTCCTGAAAATAATTGAATTTTGCAATAAATTTTATTAAAATTCCTGAAAATAATTGAATTTTGTCGAAGAATTTTGCTGTTTATTTATAAAGATAATTGAAATGTTGACCACAATTTTTTTTTTAGATTCTTTAAAAATAATTGAATTTCTGCCAAGAATTTGATTAATCTTGAAAATAATTGAATTCCTGTGATGAATATTCGTATGAAAATAATTGAATTTTGCAATAAATTTTATTAAAATTTCTGAATTGAATTTCGTCGAAGAATTTTGTTAAAAAAATAATTGAAATATTGACAATAAGAATTTAAAAAAAAATTTTGAAAATAATTGAATTTTTGGAAAGAATTTTAATATTTATTAAGATCGTTGAATTCTTTCAATGAATTGCGTTAAAGTTTTTAAAAATTGAATCTAATTTCCCTGACCTGTGGTAACCCCGATGGTTCCTTTTAGCTTCCCCTACTCCATATCTCTTTTTTTTAATGTTATTTATTTTTTAAAATTTTTAATTTACTTAGGAAAACGTCAGTCAATGGAGAAGTGTATTCTCCCTAACTGCAGGAATTTACATATTGGGTGCAGTGGCTTTTCTACTATTTGGCTCGACAAAAGTGCAAAAATGGAATGATCCCAGTGGCACCAGCAGAAAGGACAGTAGAATTTATGGTATTCCCGAGGCGCCATCTTGCATTGAATTGGCTGAGAAGCTCGAGAAAGAAAAGAATAATACACAAAGAGAAGAAATTCGATGATGCACGACATTCGTTTTGTTTTAAATAATTTTTTTTTCTTTAAGAAAAATCATTTCTCGCACTCAAAAAAAAAAAAGAAGAGAAAAACACGCATTGACAGGATAATTGCATTAAAAATCAGAGTTGGCAAATTTTTTGTTTTCTTCGCTCGATGACAAGAAACGCGATGCGACTTATCGAAGACTCTGAAAAATGAAATATTCATTTTCCGCATTTTTTTTTGAGTAATTTCACATTTTCCCATTCCTTACATTAATATTTAACAGTAAGTCTGATTTTAGTTATTTTTTATAATCGAGATTTTATTTTTAATATTCGAAATTATTTTCATAATTCTAAACTCAGTTCCTTACAACAACAAAAAAAAACCCTAGTAATAAAATTTTATAATTCGAATTTTATAATTAGAAAAAAAAATTTTTTTTAATTTTAAATTATAATTAAAATTAACCAAATTTTTATAATCAAAATTTTATATTTGATAACATTTTATATTTCGAAATTAATTTTCATAATCAAAAATGAATCTATAAAAAAAAACTTTGCAATCGAAAAAATTGTATAATTTAATATAATTATTATTATATAATTATAATTTTATAATTTAAAATAAATTTTTATAATTTTCGGAAATGAAAAGTTAATTTGCAGAACATTTTCTTAAAAAAAAATGATTTTGTTATAAAAATCAAAAACGAAAAATTATTTTATAAAAAGTTTTCGGAGTGAAAAAAATACCCCCCTCTCATCTATCTTGTAAGTGAGATATCAAAAGTGATCAGAAGCTATTGTAAACATGTATTTTTTATCAAAAATTATTTATTTATTTCTTAAGTATATCGATATACCTACATTGACATTTTTTTTTATCTTGTACATATTTTTCCTATCGTAAGACCACAGATAAGCACTTCACTTGATAATCTTAGTATTAGCAAACCTTAAGATTTATTCTTCTACTTAAAAAAAAACAAATAATGTAAAATAAATATGTTTACAGAAAAAAAGAAGAATTTTTTTCTTTCTTCAACTTGTCTTCGTCTTTTTTCTTTCGTCCTTAATATTTACTTTGTATAGTGTCCATAAAACGTAAAGTAAACCACAGGTGAAAATGATATTTGTCACCCAAGTGACAATTGGCAGCATTAATGTGTCTCCAATTGGAATGTACCAAATAAAATCATTTGGATGCTAAAAATAGTTATTTTTAAATTTAATTTCTATTTTTCTTTAAGGATCAGATAAAAGACTGCGTTGGATTTATTAAATAACGAATAAATAAATATTTCCAAGATAGGATTACCAAAAATTCGAAATTTGATATTAAAGTATATTTGTTGTGGAATTAGTTTAATGAATTTAGAAGTGTACGTAGTAACCAATAGTTTTTAGATATTGTAGCGTTTCATTATTTTCAACATATTCGGGATATTTTTTGAACTATTTGTAAGCAATTCTTTTTCGATTTTCACGCGTAAATGACTTGTGCTTTTTTTTTTTTTATTTTGCCGCATTATAAATTAAAACTTATTAATTTAACAAAACTATTTTAAAAAAAAATATAAAAATCGACTAAACGAGTATAAATATACTAGACAATTTTGACACAACCGCAACCTCCAAGGTAAGGGACAATGTTGTTTAATATGTAGTCGTCGAAAAATAAAAAAAAACATTGGAAAAAAGTAGTTTGGAAAAAATATACGTTGGTAAAATAATAGGTTGGGAATTTCAACTGGTGGGGAAAAATGTCCACCACCACCGTCATTTTACGATTATTCCACAATGAGCCGGGATCAAAAACGTACGATGGTATCATACGTCATAGACTTAAAACATTCTTATAGAAGGCACACCACTTTTCAAAAAGTTGTCCAAACCGGAAGGAAAGCATATTTATATTGAGTGTATTTACGAATTAAAAATTACTGATACTTTACCAAATTAAACGGAATTTCCCTCCATTTATCAACGACATCCGAGCAGGGTGAGCAAAGTTCAATTTTCGACACTCGATAATCTTTGACACGCTCTTCACAGCCAATGAGAAGTTTGGGTTTGGGAATTTTTAATTCAACATAACCGCCACCTTCACGCGCTTCATGGTAACGCTGATGAATTGGCAATGTCAAGGTCACTTGTGAACCAATGAGACGCGAGCACACAGTCACATTTTGTGTACCCGCATTTTCAGCAAATAATTCCACATTAAATTCACCAACAGAGCACGCTGTTAGCTACGAAAAAAAATATCATTTCTGAACGTGAAATAAACAATTTATTTAATATTTATTATAAAATAATTTATAGGTATTTCAAATTTTGAAGCCTGTATATACTACTATCTCGTCCAATAGCTTGGAACTATTTTTTTTTGTGATAAGTCAAAATGATTTAGAGAATATCAAAGTTTAACAGGATAAAAATAATCTAGTTAATATTTACTATATATGCTTTTTAAGTAGGTGTTCACATAACCTATATTTGCTGGCAACATAATGGATAACGATTTTTCTAATATTGCAAAAAGAATTGCAGTAGTTATATTATTATTATTATTATTATTATAATTATTATATCATTAAAAGAAATTTTAAATAATATTAAAACATACTTCTCCTTTCCTGACGAGTTTTGAAATTTCATCAACATTCACGTAAAAAGACGATGGAAATTCGAAATATAATGCGACATGACAATTATTCGCCTCGAAATTCTTGATATTTATGTGATATCGAAGTGTTCTGAAACAGAAAAATAGAATTTGGTATTATTGTATATTTTATGTAAATCCAAGTAGCACGTAAAGTTACTGTTATGTTACATGTACTTTACAATTATAATACAGTGTACGCAGTAATATTAAAATATTCACCTTAAGGTTTCATTCAAAACAAACGTAACGGCTTTTTTAAAATTTTTACCCCCTCCCCATTCAATGCAAAATTAAATGGCCGTGAAGTAGGTTTCAAAACATAACCTCAAAAATTACCTGTGAAATCCGCCATTTGGTATTTCAAGATTCACCTCAGCACTTAAAGAACTCGTGAATTTGATGAAGGGACAAAATAATAATAAGAAAACAAATTTATTCATTTTATTACATAAACACTACTTTAATACAAAATTTCCTTTATTATTATATTTAAAAAAAAAATATTGACATTTTCAACATTTACAACAAACACGCACGTAATTACGCATCTTTCTCGATGGTAAAAAAAATATGTAGAGATTTTTACTTTCTAACATTACGACTTACGTTCATACCAACCAAGTATCTCTAGTGATTTTGTGGTAATTTGAGTGTTTGACAAGTTGCATCACCTGGTGACAATTTTTTGAAACACGTAATCATAATAATGTAGAGATTTTCTTCGGCTTACTATTAAACGACAAATGATAAGTCAGAAAATTTTATAATCAGATTTACTTTATGGATTTTCTAGATTATAAACTTCAACGGTACAATTTCATTTTTAAAAAAATTGAAAATAATTTGAATCTGAAGAATTTTATAAAATTTTTTTTTTGTAAATAATTGAATTCCTGTGAAAAATTTTATTTTTGAAAAGAATTGAATTCTTGGGAAGAATTTTTTTTTAAATTTCCTAAATAATTGAATTGCTTTCGAAGAATTTTATTTTTTACGAAAATAATTTCGAATTGTTTCGAATATTTTTATAAACATTTTTGTCAATAATTATGTATTCCTATAGGAAGAATGTTATATTTTACGAAAAAAATTATATTCTATGATCAATTTTATTATAATTTTTCAAATTTATAAAGCATTATATATCAACATTTTTTTTTTAAATAAATGAATTCTAGAGAAAAATTTTATTTATAAAAATATATTAAAATATTTCTTGCGAAGAATTTTATTCTTTTTTTAAATAATTGAATTCCCATTAAAAAAATGTATTATTATTTGTGAAAATAATAAAATTCTTAAGAATAGAATTGTATTTTGAAAATAATTAAATTGTATATAGGAGAATTTTATTAAAATTGCAATTTTTATTAACTAAATCAAGTAAAGAATTTTGTCGAGAAATTTTTTTAAATAATAGAATTTTTAAAAGAATTTTATTTAAATTTTTCGAAATAATTGAATTTTTCAGAATTAATTTTTTCAATTATCTGAATATATATTCGAATTTTTTCGCGGGAAACTTTATTAAAAACATTAAAAATAATTAAATTGGTGCGAAGAAATTTATCAAAATAATTAGTAGGTAAGTAATTGAATTCCTGTGAAATTTTTATTAAAATTTTGTTTAAATAATTAAATTCATTTGGAAAATTTTATTATGATAGTAGATGTTAAAAATAATTGAAATGAGGAGAATTTTTGAAAATAACTGAAATTTTGACAATTTTATTAAATTTTTCGAAAATAATTGAATTTTGGAGAAGAATTTTATTATTCATAAAGATAATTGAAATTTTGACAATGCGCTCATTAAATATTGAAAAAAAAAATTTTCACTATCGTTATTTAACAATATTATATTTACCATAGTGTTTTTTTTTTTTTTTTTTTTTTTTGTTTTTTTTTTTTTGTTTTAATATTAGGTGTTAATAATAGATTTGTTTGTATTAAGAAAGAAGAAAACGTGTGTCATTTGGAATTTTTTCTACTGCTAAATAGAAAAAAGAATAAAATACCAAAATAATACAACAAATACTCTGCATAATAAATTTAAAAATATAAAAAAAAAAATTTAAATAAAAATAAAAAAAAATAAAATAAATTTAAAATAATTTATAAAATTAAGTAAATAATACCCATAAAATAACAATACTAAAATGACCTATTTAAAGTTAAACACAAAACGTGTTTAAACACTATGGACAATAATGATCTGAAAATAGAAAATAAAATGACAGTTATATTTAAAACTCTAGAATGATGGTGGGGGAGAAAAAAATAGATGCATTAAAAAAGTGCTTTTTTCCAAAATAAAATAAAGATAAAATGAAAATAGAAGAAATTTTAAAGAGCAAAGGAATTTTAAACTAGGGGATGGAGGACTTGTGTTTCCAAATATGAATAATTTAAAAATAGAAATAACTACGATAAGGAGAGAGAAAAAAAAGCCAGTGGGTTATTTAGCCAAAGAAGAAAAATCTAATTTGGTTACATTTTTTTTCATCACCCTCACACTCTTTTTAGAAGAAGAGGAAGAACATATACATATACGCGCATACAAACATGGAGACACATAAATTTAGAGTGTTAAACTTATATAGACACAAGTGTATTTTTAATTATTTTAAAAATAATAGAAGGTAAAAATTTTAAATTCAAATTTTTTTTTATAAATATTATAAAATTTCAATGTTGAATGAATTTAAATTAGAAATTTTAATGAACTTCGATTTTTGAAAAATTTTAATAATTCAAAATCCTCTAAAATTTGTTGTAGAAATTCAATTATTTTCAAAAGTATAATAAAATTCTTATCACAAAATTCAATTATTTTCAAAATTTACAAAAAATCGACAAAATTCCATTAATTATCTTTATAAATGAAAAAAATGTTCTTCAAAATTTAATTATATTTTCAAAAGTAATAAAATTCTTGGCAAAATTTCAATTATTTTCAAAAATTTTCCTCATTTCAATGATTTTCAATAACTACTATTTTAATAAAATTACCCAAAAGAATTCAATTACATTTAAAAATAATTTTCATAAAATTGTACGTAAACATTTGATTATTTTCATAAATAATAAAAATTTCATAGGAATTAAAATATTTACAAATTTTTTTTATAAGTTTCTTCGCAATAATTCCATTATTTTCATAAATAATAAATTTTTTACGCAGGGATTCAATTTTATTATTTTCATAAATAATAAAATTCTTTTTAAAAATTAAATTTTTTTTTTGAAAATAAAATTCTTTGCAAAAATTTAATTATTTTAAATACAATTTTAATAAAACTTCTCCAATGATTTTAATTGTCATCATAAATTATACAAAATTTTAAGCAATATAATATTCTTTGCAAAGAATTTATAATTATTTTCGCACAAATAATTTAATGTTTCACCAGAATTGAGAATTATTTAAAAATATTTTTATAAAATTTTTGTTAAAAATTCAATTATTCTCACAAAAATAATAAAATTGATTGCAAAATTTCAATTATTTTCAAAAGTTTTAATAAAATTTTTGGATAAATTTCAATTATTTACAAAAATTTTAATGAAATTCTTGGAAAAATTTCAATTATTTTCAAAAATTTTAGTAAAATTCATTGCAAAATTTCAATTATTTTTCAAAGTTTTAATAAAATTCTTGGAAAAATTTCAATTATTTTCAAAAATTTTAATAAAATTCTTGGAAAATTTCAATTATTTTCAAAAATTTTAATATAATTCTTGGAAAAATTCCAATTATTTTCAAAAATTTTAATATAATTCTTGGAAAAATTCCAATTATTTTCAAAAATTTCCCCCAATTCAATGATTTTTATTTTATCTGTTTCAATCAAATTTTCCAAAAGAATTCAATTATTTAAAAAAAATTTTTGATAAAATTCTACGCAAATATTTAAATTACTTTTATAAATAATATAAACATTTCACAGGAATTCAATTATTTACAAATTTCTTATATAAATTTCTTTGCAATAATTCAATTATTTCATAAATAACAAAATTTTTGTATAGGAATTCAATTATTTTCATAAATTATAAAATTTTTTTACATTAAATTTTTAAAAATAAATTAAACTTATTGAGAAACTTTGGTAAAATCGTATTAAAAATAATTGAATTCCTACGAAAAAGTTTTTTATAAAAATTTTTGAAAATATTTGAATTTTTCTAAAAATTTACAAAATTTATGAAAATAATTGAATTTTTGTGAAGAATTTTATTAAGATTTAAAAAAAAAATGGAATTTCTACGAATTTTTTAAGGTATTTTTTATTATTTTTGAAAATTTTAATATAATTCTTCGCAAAAATTCAATTATTTTCATAAATAACAAAAATTTCATAGGAATTTAATTATTTACAATTTTTTTTTTTATAAATTTCTTCGAAATAATTCAATTATTTTCATAAATAATAATTATAATTTAGATCAGTGAAACGAAATTTGTTATAGAAAAAAGGATATAACAAACAAAATGGGTATATATTTTATTTGTTAATCATTTTTTTTTTTTTTTTTTTTTTTTTTTTATTTCTATTATTATTATTATAAATTATGAAAAAATACCTTATTTTCGATTTGTTAGACAATATTTTTTAAAGAAAAGAAAAAAGATTTTTGACTTAAAAAAATTCTTAAAAATTAAGAATGAAATGAAATGGAAAAGAAATATTACTCACACATTGCCGAATGTTCATAGTTAGTAAGAAGACGTGTATTAAATGTTACATTGTTGCTGACGCTCAAAAATAGCTGCAGTTGGCCCAGAAGTTGTTGAAAGGAGTCAGACGATAAGGATACAGAGAAAGATGATGAGGTGGATGACGAGGTATCTTTCTATGTTCATATATATCTATATCATGTTGTACGAGGGTAAAAATTATCAAGTTAAATAGCGTAAGACGAGGAAAATTCAATGAGAAGAGAAAAATGAAACGAAAAGGAAATTATAGAGTCAGAGAGCGAGAGAGTAGGGGAGAAATTAAATTTAATTATTCCAGTCGGTCTATACACGTAATAATATTTACTCTGCCGGATGAAACACAATTTTTTGGCATTGTGCCAAATTTGTAATTTTGCATTTTGATGAGAGAGAGAGAGAAAAGGAGAAAAAAATTATTTTCTCATAATTTACAATTTTTTTCCTTTTCCCCATTTTATCCCCTTAAATTATAAAAATTTTCTAAAACACCTAAAATCATACATTTTCTTTCCTTTTCTTCTTATTTTTAAGAAAAGTTTATAAAAATTTAGAATTTTAAAAAATAAATAATAAAAATAATTAAAAATTTAGAATGTAATTTAGAAAAAAAATTTTAGTTTAATCGTCATTTATGATGATTATTTTCAGAATTTTTTTTCGTCTACGCTGTTTAGTATACGGTTTGCCAAGAAATCATGCTTCAATTAATATAATGGAATTAAAAATACGACAGATTCATTATTTTGTTATCTATTATTATATTCCTATTAATACATATTTAGAAATAATTTTAATATCACTTATTATTATTATTATTATTATTATTATTATTATTATTATTATTATTATTATTAT